ACTAGTGTTTTTTTCTTAAAAGAAATACTAGTGATTATTTTTCTTTCTTCTTTTCATTATTTGACGAGTGTCCCACACATAATTCCAATAAATAGTAATAATAACATAAAACTGTTGTTAATTATTGTAACCTATTTCAATGATTTTGTGAGACTGTCGCCGAATAATCATCAGCAGAAGGCTTCTGTTCTTTTTTCTCCTTTTTAATGCTTGCATCTATTTGAAGGGTTTGGGTTCTGGAGCGAGCAGTCTTGGCACAGAACTCCAATGGGAAAGGGACCAAAAAATGCGTTTACTATTATTTTTTTCTTCAGTTGTTTGAGAGGTCATCGCACCTTTTGCATGTCTTCTTGGCTTTGTACGTTTTTACTGGATGGATAGCTTGCCTCTCAAGCCATTATGAGCCAAAGATTCTTAGCCCGACTTCAAGAATGATGCAAGGTTCTTTCAAATTGCATTCTTCCAAGTCAAGATTTGTATTTTTTTTGTCCTGGGGCTCCGTGAAGAATTGGGTATTATGTATTGCTATGAAGATAAGAGACATTCTTTCTCTTCACTCCACGGCAGGCTAGCTAGGCACGATCGTTTCTTCACAGGTGCATTTCAAGACAGAAGACTCCTACCAGTTTTTGTTTGGAAGGTTTGCGTCTTCCTAGTGCTTCAGGCTTACTGTATGTCATATGAATATAGATATACAACTTCTATCCCTTTCCTTTCAGTTGGTTCAGGGTAGAAGGGTTGGATCATTGGGGCATGAATGTGCACAGTCCACTGTATATAATATATATACACACATTCAACACACATACACATGTAGGCTAAGCACGCATTTGTCATAAACATCTATGTATCCCTCGGCTTATTTTCGTGAATTTTTAAGATAACTCACTAAACTCACCAAATCACTGACTCAGTATATATCTATTTATCGATCTATGTATCGACCTGTCCATTTTTCTAGCTATCTATCTATCCATCCATCTCCACCACAGTATCAAGTTGTTGCTGCAAAGCTTGTAGGCTGAAGGGATTAGAGGAGACCTCAGGTCCAATACCCCTTCTTCTGTCCTTTCCTTGGTATTTCTCTCCGGGCGTGCAGGTGGCAGGGCTAGTATCTAATTGCCAGTTGCTGTTGCAAGGGTGGCAGGCTTACATCTTTAGAGGGTGCCTTGAGCCTAGTGTGTTGTTCATTTCTCTAGTGAGATAGACGGAACTAGACAAGCAAACATTTAGATACATGGATAGATAGATAGATAGATAGACAGACAGACAGACAGATAGATAGAGAGGTGGAGGGGGGAAGAAAGAGATAGAGAAATTAAGATGCATAGAGATACTTAAAGACAAATGGTGAGAGACAGAGCTAGCTATCTATCTCTATCTATCGATCTATCTATCCATCTATCTATCTATCCATCTATCTGTCTATCTCTGTCATCTAGCTATCTATTTAATTATTTTAATTGTTTCCTTTTAAAATGAGCTGAGCTTCAAGAGAAAAGTCCAAACCAATTAATTTTTCATTTTTTTCAATTTATTTATTTTTTTGATTTTTTTCCTAATTTTTTGAATTATTTCAATTGTGTCCTTTGAAAATTGGCAAAGAATTAAAATAATCAAAAAAAATAAAAAAAATTGGGTGCTCCGTTTTTTTAAAATATTTTAGTTTTTAATTGTTTCCTATTAATAAAATTGGCAAATAATGAAAATAATTAAAAAACTACAAAAGATTAAAAAAACCGAGCTCCCAATTTTTATTTTTTCATTATTTTAAATATTTGCCAATTTTTAATAGGCAACAATTAAAATAATTAAAAAAATCAGAAAAACGGAGCTCCCAATTTTTTTTTCTTTTTTTGAATTTTTTGCCAATTTTCAGAGGAAACAATTAAAATAATTCGAAAAATGAAACCAAAAACGGAGCTCCCAATTTTTTTGATTTTTTCAATTAATTTCATTATTTGCCAATTTTCAGAGGAAACAATTAAAATATTTTTTTTTTTAAAGGAGCTCCCAAATTTTTAAATTTTTTGAATTATTTGAATTATTTGCAAATTTTCGGAGAAAACAATGAAAAATAATTAAAAAAATAAAAAAGTGGAGCTCCCAAAATTTTTAATTATTTTAATTATGTGCTGATTTTGATAAGAAACAAGTACAAAAAAGAAAAAAAAATGAAAGATTAATTGGTTTCACATTGTTCAATTCGAGCTGAGCTTCAAGAAGGGAAGTCCAGAACAATTAATGTTTTAATTTTTTTAAATTATTTCAATTGTTTCCTTTTAAAATTCGCAAATAATTAAAATAATTATAAAAATAAAAAACGGAGCTCCCAATTTTTTTCATTATTTTCATTATTTGCTAATTTTCAGAGGAAACAATCAAAATAATAAAAACAAAAAAACGGAGTTCCCAATTTTTTTAAAATTATCTTAGTTATTTGCCACTTTTCAGAGGAAAAAAATAAAAAAAATAAAAAACAATAAAAACAAATCAAAAAAAACGGAGCTCCCAAATTTTTGATTTTTTTCGATTATTTTCAGTATTTGCCAACTTTCAGAGAAAACAATTAAAAAAATCAAACAATGAAAAAAAAAATCCCAAATTTTTCATTTTTTTAAAATTATTTTCATTATTTGCCAAATTTCAAGAGGAAACAATTAAAATAATTAAAAAAAATTAAAAAAATAAACAAAACGGAGCTCCCAAATTTTTGAATTTTTTGAATTATTTTTAATTATTTGCCAATTTTCCGAGGAAACAATTAAAATAATTGAAAAAAATCAAAAATAAAAAATTAATTGTTTTGGACTTTCCTTCTTGAAGCTCAGCTCGAATTGAACAATTTGAAAACAAACAATTTTTTATTATTTTTTTTAAAATTATTTTTAGCGTTTCCTATTAAAAATTGGCAAAAAATTAAAATAATAAAAAAAAACGGAGCTCCCAATTTGTTTGTTTTTTTTTGAATTATTTTAATTATTTGCCAAATTTCAGAGGAAACAATGAAAATAATGAAAAAAATAAAAAAAAATAAAAAAAAATTGAGCTCCCAATTTTTTTCATTATTTCAATTTTCAGAGGACGCAATTAAAATAATTCAAAAATGAAAAAAACGGAGCTCCCAAATTTTTAAATTTTTGAATTATTTGATTTTTTTGCCAATTTTCAGAGAAAACAAGTAAAATAATTAAAAAAAATAGAAAAAACGGAGCTCCCAATTTTTTTCATTCCTCCAACTATTTTTAATATTTGCCAATTTTCAGAGGAAACAATTAAAATAATTAAGAAAGTTCAAAAAAAATAAAAAAATAAAAAAACGGAGCCCCCAATTTTCTTTTTTGAATTATTTTGATTTTCATTTTTCTTATTTTTTTTTTGATTTTTTTAAATATTTTTTTCATTGTTTCTTATTAAAATTGGCAAATACTGAAAATAATGATAGAAAATCAAAAAATTGGGAGCTCCGTTTTTTTATTTTTTTCATTTTTTTAATTATTTTAATTGTTTGCCAATTTTCAGGGGAAACAATTAAAATAATTAAAAAAAATCAAAAAAATAAAACAAATAAACATTAATTGTTTTGGACTTTCCTTCTTGAAGCTCAGCTCGAATTGAACAATTTGATTTTTTTTAAAAATTTTTCATTAAATATCGTACTTTTCCTTTCGTTTTTCAATGAAATGTGGCCGCGCCACATAGACCCTAAAGTTCCCCCATACGGGGGGGAGGGGGGGGGCAGGAACAACTGATGTAACTGAGGGTACAGGGGGGGATGTTAACGTTCCATGTAACTTGCCCATGTTGTTGATGCTTCGCCACGCTGGGGTGGGGGGGATGTTAACGTTCCATGTAACTTGCTCATGCTGTTGATGCTTTGCCACGCTGGGGTGGGGGGGGATGTTAACGTTCCATGTAACTAGCCAAACTTCTGATAGGCAAAGATGACAAACCAAGTCGGCCGCGCGTGAACAGGCCGTCCGGACCGTTGTTTGTTAATGCTTTCGTATGTTTTTGTTTAGTTGTGTGTGTCTGACGTTTTTTTCCCAACATGTGGAGCAGAACATGGTTTCGGTTGGTGCCATCGGTCTTGTATGGGTGTTAAGCGGTTTAATTATGATGATCATAGATCATATTAGAGTGCAACGGTTTTCGGTGGGGTGTCCAAATTTCCATGTTATTGAATATGATATGTGAACCAGGATTGAACATCCCTTGCAATTTTGAGTCGGGCGGGGGAATCGGTCGTCCAAAACCTGTGACACCGCAACAAAATTTCAAAACACATAAAAACAATGGATAACATTTTCAGTGTATAAAAAAACCCAGTGCACGCAGCTGTGAAACATCATATCAGCAAATTCAAACCAAAAAAAATCAAGTCTGTTTGCGAACGGTTTAAATTCAAGGCAATTGTACTCTGGTGTTTCTTATCCTCTGCAACACGTATCTCTATCGCGGATGCAATGGGATGGAATTTTCCATTCAGACCACACTTGGATATGTCCATTTTGCATCATGTGGTGATAATGTTCCGTCCATGAAATGCAGGACCTCAACGTCGTGGGATGTAAATTCTAGGATTCAATTGTCCCCACTTTCGTTGAACTGTTGCAGGATGAAGTCTCTTTCTCTATTTCTGAAGCGCTGGAACCTGTTCAACATTTGGAGCAGGTTCGTAACAGATTTGTGATTTGTGGCAATTTTTATACTTTGCGGTTTGGTTTCCGGCACAGGAATGGGAACCTACAAAACTCGTAAAACGAATTCGCACCTTTCCTGCAGTGAAGAGAGAAACAGAGAAACAAATTGGACTGTTTGAATATGTGGAGTTTGCATGTTCCCAACTAGAGCGATGTGGAATGACCCAAGGTGATTACTTCCGGAAGGCGGCAAAGTCTTTGGATTTTCGGGAACGGCCACATTCTGAGACAAATCAAATCAAAATGTGGGTCACACAGCTGCACAGCCCAAACCAAGGTCGTGGTTGGCCCTTGTGAATGAGTATGCCGACTGTGCCTTTTCTTCAATTTTCCAGGCAATTGGAGACAGGCAAGGCGGGTTCACTTGTCAAATGAAATTGACCATCAATTCCAAGGTTCCAATGGGTTCCGATGGGTTCCAATGCACAATAAATATGGGATCTGCTGAATGTGCGTTTTCGACAGGACATGGCTGGACAAAGTTGATTTCCTACTTGTTCTTGACGCCGGAATCAAGGACTTGGCTGTCGAACTTGAATTTGTTGAATCGTTCTTTGTCCATCTTTGTCCCTTCTCCCATCCAACTTTTGGAAATCTTGTGAAACATGAAGACACACTCTCCGTATGGGTCCCGATGCGGGTCCGTGGGTTGGTCCAAGCTTTCTGCGACACGAGGAATACTTTCCGGAGAACATCATGAGAAAAGTGCCAGAGACCTCAGGTTGTCAGCTTTGTGTCATTTGTATTCGAAAACATTCATCATATTTCAATATTTGGACCAGAAACTAAGGACCAAAGAAACTATGTTTCACATTAGCAAACACAACATGAATATTATGTTTTTTGCACTTTTACATGCGCTGACATGTCAAATGCATCCAAATGTGATACAGTGATGCATGCAGAATGATGATCATATCTGATCATATATTGTAATGTTTACTTGTACGTGAAAATATTGTATAAAAAACCAGTCGCTCTTGTGTACTGTGTACATCTAGTTTACATATACATTTTGGGATTTGGCTCTGTCTTGCAAGATTTTGACACGGTCATTTGGGATTTGTACTGAATTTACCACAGATGGGCCACTCAGATGGGTGGCAATTTGTGATTTCGTTGAGGCCCCCGGAGGAGTACGAACGGGCTGTGCTCATTGCGCATGACCGGGCCTTCGAGGAGATGTTTCTGTGCCTGGGTTGCCTGGGTTGCCAGCGTTGCCGGCGTTGCTTTACGGCAGGGAACTGCAATACCCATAGAATCCATCAGAATCCTGACTTCATGATGAATTGAGATTGAAATTCTGAACGGCTGAGGGGGCATGTTATTGCAATTTGATGTGTTGATTAGCCTCTGAGTTGAATTTTTGCACGCGCAGGAGCAAAGGTTTCTGCCCCGGATATGGGATGCTATGATAGCTCTCAATATCACTGGAAAGGCGCTGCTAGAGAGCTTTGGCACAGCGGGGCATGATTGGGGAAAGATTTTGGGCAGTTCGAGTTGATCTCTTTTTTGTTGCCCAGTTGCTGGTGACCCCACCTGTGCACATGGGATTGCCCTGGCTACCAGAGTCAGCCGAAGGCACGTAAGAGGGCATTGGACAGTATCGATGAGGGCCGCAAGGTGGGGAAACCCGAAAACGAAAAAAGGGGCAGAAACATCTCACTGGGAGTCAAAAACCGTCGCGTATTGAAGGCTTCGTGATGCAACTGCAAGGCTGCCCTGAAAGGGCTGCGGGACCCGTCTGCTCCCCACGAAGTCAAGGCCAGTTGGATGATCTTTGTGAAACAATGTGAAACTGATCATCCGACAATTGCATGCGGCATTTCCAAACCGCTTTGGAAACAGCAAAACATGTCACTGCTCGTGATCGACAGGCCTTTGTGTCGCGATGGATCGACTCAACTCTTCAGCGCTTGAATCGAAGCACTCAGGGTCCCTTGGATGCAACATGGGTAAAAACATGTGAAAAATACTAGAACAACCCAGAACAACCAGCGTCCAAAACGGTGTGCTGCCCAGGTGATCCGGAGTCAGTTGGAGTCTTAGTTTCAAACGGCTCAAGACACGAAGTGCTACAACACGTGATGTGCATGTGCTTTTCATTTGGCTTGCACTGTCTTTATTTGCCAGGTGTTGTTTGCACAGGTTGCATATTGACACACAGCCAACATGTCAAAAACACGGAAAAACATGCAGATTTGAATGAGTGGAGCGTGGAGCAGCCCTGCGCTCTGTGGCAGGTGTGTGACGAGAAGCAGGCCGAGGAGATCTTCAAAATGCTCCTGGTGACGCCGCTTTGCAACGCTTTGCAAAGCTTTGCAACGCTTTGCTGTGATGTTTTGACATGTTTTGACTTGAGACGTTTTATGTGTTGTCTATTGTTGTCTATTGTTGTATATTGTTGTCTTGTATGTCTCATATGTTTTACAGGTGCCATGTCGTGTTGATATGGCTTCTTGCATCCATCCCTGCAGCTTCTTTCACTCAGAGTTGGCTTTGAGCGGACCAGGATGCTGCGAAAACTTCGCTCTCAAGGTTTTGACGAACAAATAGCAGAACCAGAGATAGCTTGAACTCAAACAGAAAATGCCCTCGATTCAAAAACTTGTAGGACAATCTGACAGCAGTTGACCCACTAGTTTGGAAACACTGCGTAAACAACAAGAATGGCGAGGTTTCAGCAAAACTACCATGGACCCCAGAAAATGCATGAAAATGCCACATGCCGGGGCCTGTGCCCGGATATGTGTGTCCTTTGACTCTTATGACTTGCCATGGGAAATGTGGACCCGTGGGACCCGTGCTTTTGGGGTGCTCCGGCGCTTCAGCACTTTGGATACGCTGGGAATGCTTGGAAAGGTGGGATTCCCCAAGAAACTTGGATTCGGGCTCTCTGAGAAGATCAACCTGCAAATCTCCATGGATTTTGTATTCAATATGTATGCAACTATCTATTATATATATATGTAATATATATGTATATATATATATATGAAGATCCTAGATATCTCACTGCTTACTATATCTCAATTTCCAGCGGATCGCAGGAAGCTGCAGCCCTGGCTCCTGCGCGAAGCACCTACCCGACCTATCCATTGTTGAGACAGCGGTGCAAGTCAGCTTGCGAAGAGGCAAGAAATGACAGCGCTGCATTTGATGTTTTTTCTGGAAAGATTGGAAAGTCCCCAAATTCTCATTCCGAAGTGTTGAGATTTGGAGCTTCCAACTGAATCAGGAGTGTAGCCATCCTGTAGACATGCTGGGATTGGATCAGGAAGTGGAATTACGCGGCTTGGTACAGCTGGCTCGAGAGGAAACGAGACTCGGTTGGTGAACGGTTTTCCCAGAACAGGAACAGCCTTTTAGAACTTCTTCGCACCATGTTCGAAACCAAATGACATCCCATGATGAAATATATATATCAGACGTCTTCAAATTTTTCAGCCGGGATACTGCTTCCGACTCGAGATGTTGCCTGAATTATCAGAAATGCTGTTCCGGAGGAGAGAGATTTAAACTTTGCAGAAGAATGTGAAGAGCGCTTGAAGATCTTCTGGGAAGAGGCCAGACTCCTTGGCTTTCCGGATGGCACCAGTGAATGTGGCGTCAGGCAGCTTCAACGCTGCTGGAAGCAGTGCAAGATGATGCCAGTCTTGCCGGGGATGCATTTCTGGAGCTCTATTCTGGCGAGGGTGGGACCGATGCAATGGATTGGCCACTCAAGATTTGCAGCAAATAAGATTTTTGTCGCTTTATCCTGTGAATCTTTCAGCTTTCGCTCAATACTCGTTCCGAGATATTGCTTTTTGGCCTCACTTGTTCGTCCAGGTGCGCTATGCTGGGAGACATGTACGAGTCATGGGCAGACAATGAAGGCATGCAGCAGGTGCCTCAATTTCGCAAGTTTTGGAAACTTCGAAGCAAAGGAGGCGAAATGCGAAACTCGAAAAGGTCTCAGGTCAGAAAGTGCTAAGGTCAGTACGAGTGCAAGAAGTCCTGGGCGAAGCTGGCTTTCGGTCTTTGACAATCCAACTTTCAAATCTCTCAGGTGCGGTTCTACAGACAACTGATAAAGTCGTGCCTCGTTTTTGGGAATCACCAGAATTAGCTTGGGAAATGGTCAACGTAAAAGTCGTGCCTCGACTATAAAACGCAAGCGAACTCTGTAGGTTGCTCTTTTTGATCACCAACTTTCGATGACTGGATAGTACCATGGTGTTTGGTGGATTTTTGATATGCAAGTTGGGTCAAGGAATGTTGCGTTTAGGTTGGTTTTGCTCACAATTCCTGTATCGTTTTGGCTGGATAAATTTAGGAGTGACTTTGTCGTTTACCTGTACATCCTCATCCTGAGACATGATAGACATGATGGACATGATAGACATATCTAGACATGATTCATGAAAAACATGGCAAAACATGGCAAAACATGGCGAAACATGGCGAAACGTGTTGCCATCAGAGTGCCGTGGGAAACTCGGAAGTCGCGATGAGGCCGTCACATCTGTGGCTTGTTGGCCGAGTCTGGCGTGCATCGGCTGATCCGAACCTCGCCCTTCGATCGGAAAGCCAGGCGGGAACAGCTGAGGCGGCACAGCTGGAGAACTTGAACAAAACGTGTCTTCAACTTGGAAAGACACAGAGAACACATTGATAACAAATCTATAACTGGATAATATGCTATGCTAAGCCGTCACTGTGTAAGGCATGATGCTAAGGAGAGAACGCTATGCTAATAAAAGGTTAAATGATGTTAAATGATATCAAGTATTAGTATAAATGGTTGCTGTACGCTGTCATTGGAGTGATTTCATTATCTTTAATTGTTGTTTTTGGTTGTTTGCACCATTTTGTCGCCTTGGGACGGTCAGGCGTCACACCTCTTTCGCGGTGGCCGCAGTGCTGCGAGCTGAAGACGATGCAGAGAACGAAGTGCACATGCCGCGCTCCGCGCTGAAAGTGGAGACGATGCGCGCATCAGGTGCATTCCATTCCATGAAACATGCAAGAAAAGGGGTTCTCGAAAAAAAAACATGAAAGATATGAAAGATCCTAAGATCCATTGATTTATTTTGTTGTTGACTTTAAAATTGTGGCATTGACTCCGCAAAACCATCCTGCTGAAATTGAGGTGCAGGCGGTCAGAGTGTGAACATGTCTGAGACGGCGGTGCGGATCACACATCTTCCAACCGGAATCAGTGACCAGCTCAGTCTCCATTACCGGTGAACATCATTTCTATTTGTAACTGGTATTTGGATTTGGAGGGTTTCCGAAAAGTTCCGTGGCTGGGCGTCTGGCTAAGTATGGGTGTAAGGAACGCTGCCCTCCGGCCATTTGCTTTTGGCTCGGCACAAAGCAATAGCATTGAGATGGGACTCCATGACGTTTTTGTGAATCTCCTCGATCTCCCCTGGAAAATGTAAACACAAGACTTGTCACAAGACTCTGAGAGACTCTCAGATACTCTGAAAGATTCTGAAGGACCCTTTTAATCTCCCTTAATGGGTTTATATGATGTTAATATGGGTTTATGACATTTATGAGGTTTCTGCTCTTCGTGTTCTTGAACCTTTGCAGATCTTTGCAGTGCGCTGCATCCGCCATGGACGGTATCGACTCCCTGGAGCCTCTGAGAGCTGAACATCACAATCCAGTGCCAGTGTCCAAGCAGCAGATGGCGCCTTGTGACAGCCCTTCAAAAGGACCTTGTTGAGTGGTCTGAAAAGGCCAAATTCCATGGTTCATCATGGTTCATCCTCATTTGCTTTGTTAAAGTGGTCATTTAGGGGTCCCTCGCATTTTGAGACAAACAAATGAAATCCACCAATTTCTGGAAACCATGACAGCTCCGTTGTGAGACCTGAGGAATGGGTCGCTGGCATGGTGGGTCAAAACCTCAGAAGCAACTGATTTACCGAATCATTTAGGTCGATTTAGGCTGTTAGGGCGCAACAAAATTTCAATATTTTATGGTAATTTCTACTTTTATTTCTATATATTTACTCCTTTATCATCCTACCCGGTCCGTTTGAATCACGCTTGCCACACCAAGAAGTTGTGATCGAAGCATGTTTTGGGGCACTAGTCACATCTATTCACTTTCTCTCCTTGGGATAGAGATCTCCCTCACGACACCCAGGTGGTCTTTCCACTTCTCTTCTTGTTTTGGTGGTGGTTTGCAATGCTTTGACTGCAAAGCCCAGAAAGGAGGAAGCTGGTGAGAGGCGTGGCCAGTGGCGTCCTAGTGCCTGTGATTCACAGCATCTTGCAGAGCTGTGTAGGTCTAGAGAGTCTGTGGGTTTTGTGTAGGTCTGTGCAAATGTAATGGCAGGAATGACTACCGCACCGGCTTGTTGCTGAGCCTTTTTGGCGGCCATCTCTATGTAGCTTGTTTTGATGCTGTGATATGCTGTGATATGCTGTGATACGGTTCGCCCGGTTCGCGTACGAAGATTTGAGATGCAGAACTTGTGTCTGAGATACCTGCGCTGAGGCAGCCATTGTGACGAGCTTTCTACTCTGGTTCCTTCTCACGTGCTTCGTCTGAGAAGAACTGAGGGGGACTCTTCGGACTCCTGACTCTTTCCACTGGTTTCCATTGGTTTCCATTTCGTTATCGTGTATACTGTAGATCAGTGTAGATGTGTGCTTGTAGAGTTGCATTGCCGCCTGAGGCTGTCTGTGATGCTTCCTTTCTTTTGGTTTTCTCAACCTGAAGAGGTGAAACCAAGAACAGGACTGCAAGAGTTTGGGTCATGTTGGCATAGCTTTGCTGTGATTTGACAGCAGCAGCCAGGAAATGTCACTGCCTCCATCAACTTCTGCGAGGGTCCCGATTTCCACCACTCTGAAGTGCTTGCAGAGCCCGTGAATGTTCGAAGCTCAGCTCTCTGCAGCTGCGGCTCTCAGCCTCGACTGATATCGTCGAGGTGGTCACATCTGTACTCTTCTACTTACCGGTGGCTCTTATTGGTCTTCTGGGCCCAGCTTGCAAAGAAGGCGTGGAGTTGAAGACTAACACAACAATTGAGATCAATTGAGGCAATGTTAATTATTGAATGATATTTAATGAAAGTAATGATGTTAACAAAAACATCTTCGCAACTGCTGAGGCAGAGGGGAATTGCGTTTCTTATTCTCTTATGGATCGATGGGCATCGTTCCAAACTCAGAGTTTTCGAGGCTTTCGGTTGTTTCGTGGTTGGCTTGACGGTTTGAACATGTTTGAACCATTTGAATGGCAGGATGGTGTGTTTCCATGGCCTTGGACATTTCCTGGAAAAGTTGAGGTTGGCATTGGGTCTGGAGCGCTTCATGCATCGTTGGATGCTGTAGCACAAGCAGGTGATGAACTTCCCATGTTGCAGCTTGGTGATCCGGTTCCCTCGAGACCAACTCTATAAGCTAACAACGGAACTGTATCGGTGTTGCCATGTGTTGTTTGTGCCTTCCCACTTTCCAGTTGTAGCCCAGGTACGTCAGGGCCGCAGTTGCTGCACAGCTTCATAGAGTTGGATTTCAGTGTTCTCACAGGGTTCACCTGGTTCGACTGCAGAGGGATGATGTCGGATCGGTCGGATCGGATATCAGGTGGCCACCATGTTGGCGTATTGCTGTGCCGACACTTTCCTGATCAAAAAAGGCTGGTTCCCTGAGCACAATTGAGCTGCAAACGATGCGGCACATGCAACGGTTTCCGTAAAGCCTGCAGTAAACGGGAACCAACATGGATCGCCAACGGATCGCCAATGGATCGCGTTGATGGCGTTGTCATGCGCTTTCTAGGCATGCTCAGGGCATCAGCGGTGCTGCCATGGATCACAGCCTTGATTACTTCTGTAAATACGCTCTTGCAACTTGACTGCATGAAATTTACATGAAATCTGCAGCAATCACTCACCCTTCTAGTGGGGCGCCGTTGAAATCAAATGTCATTGCTGGAAAAACTGGTGATTGAAAATGCGAAAAGGTGCAGAGAGCACAAGCGCCAGAATTATCCAGAATTGAGTGAAGCAGATCATGTTCTTTCCATTACTCCTTATGTTGCTTTGAGGTATGTTGGTTCTCGCGATGATTTTGGCATTTTTGCTGCGACCTTTGCACTTTACCTTTCAGTTCCTGTGTTTTACTTCAGTTTCTGGGCTGCACTTGAGATCTTGAAAATGGAGAGGCGCACATTCAGCCTTGGATTTTCTTCAGTTTGAGATTGTTTCATGGTGTTTCATGATGTTTCATGGTGTTTCATGGTGTTTCGTTGCAGGTTCCTACTGCTTGTGACTTGGCTCAACACGATCCGTGATCCGTGATCGCTCCATCAAGGTGGGTTCTCTGCTGAGGCGTCGGGTCTCGGCCATTTCGGACGACACCGTGGAAGGGCCGATCCGATATCAGGCGGCACAAGCGGCACCAGAAAGGAACGGATGAAATCATTCAGCAGGGATTAAATACTGAATTGGATTGTGGATTTGGATTATGGATTATGGAATATGATTGGATTGAATAATTGAAATGCTTCATGGAATGAATTGGAATGAACTGGTGGGTGGTGCAACGTTGCGTGACCGAAGGTGGTGAGACCGCTGAGTTGGGGCTTGGGCGCCAGCTTGGCCATTGGTGGCATTTGCTGGGCCCTGGAGATGGGAATGTTCCTTGCTTCATGCGGTTCATGCGGTTCATTTCCAACCAGGAAAGCATCAGTTCAGATTGTGACTTTCCCTCTGACAACCTGTCAGCATGGAATAGAATTGGTGTCAAAGACCTTCAAGTGACTTCAAGTATGGCAATGAGGATCAAGTATCGGCCAAAATACATATTGGACGTGCAATGCGGCTCTCAGGTGCTCTGCTGTCATCAACTGCTGGGACCTCAACAAACTTAAGGCTGTTCCTTGGAAGTGATGAAACATTGGAACATTGGAACATGATAGAACAACATTGGAAAAACTGTCATGAACTAAGACCAACAGTTTGGAGACGATTGGGCGCCTTTTGTTTGGCGCTACATGTACCTTGGCTTCAAACTTGGGGAGATGCGGGAGATGGGCGATGAAAAGGTGAGATGAGAGCGTCGGCGTAGCCGGCGTAGCCTTGAGGCTTCATTCCTTGTGGCATGCTGGTACCGCGATGGCAGCGATGCTAATGCCAGAAGCCCAGGAAGCCCAGGAAGCCCAGTTGGTCATAGAAAACCATTCGGCTGGGAATATGTTGCTTTGGATGTGCTTTGGAACTTTGGATGTTCTGATTTGCATTGGATGCCCATTCGTGCCTTGAGGATCCAAAACTTGATCACAGTGAGAGCGATGCAGATGGGATGGGGCCGCCCCAAGCTTCTTGGCTATTCTCAGGTGCCAAATTGCTCTAGTGACCTCTAGTGATGTCTGTGGATGTCATGGCATCTTTCAAATCAGCTCATAGAAAATCAGAGCCCTTGTTTCACGGTTCCAAATGTTTGAATCCATGTTGGTGTGTTTGAAAATACCATTGTTGAGTGGAATGCAGCATCAAGGTCGATTGCCAACGGGCGAGACATGTTGAGAAATAGGATCATGGAATATCGCCAATATCTCCCATGGGGTGCACACTGTGCAGGCTGGATTGGTGCGGACTGCCATATGTGCGCTTTAACGTGAAGGCAGACTAGGTTAAATTCTTTAAGTTTTCCGCATGTCTATTGAGAGATATTGAGAGGTGATGGAATGCTACATCTGCAGCCTTGACATAGCTGAAGTCCGCTCACATAAACCGAGTGGCCAGTGGGTGCTGAGGGAGCTTTACAAACCGAACCCGTCGTTTAACCATGTGACAGATTGTGACAGCCATTTGGGCGTCAGCATGGAAACGAGTTGATCTAGTATGAGTTCACTCAGAGATCTCAGAGGTATGTTCATGAAAGCAGATTCATTGTTTGTGGATGTCTCCCATGGTTTACATGTCACCCACTTCTGTACAAAGCATCGTCGAACACATTTGAAAGCTGACTTAGCAAGCAGAGGGCGGCAACTGTCATGCATTTTTTTCACACGCAAGTTGCAATTACAGCAGACAGCTCGTCCTCACATATTCTTTGGGCAGTATCGGTATGGGTAACTTTCATAGAACAATAGACGCCCGTTCCATTTCTGGCTCAGCGTTCCTTTTAAACAGAGATGGGCTCCTGTTTGCGGCAGAATGGCATCTCCATTGAGGTTACAGGAGAATGTTACAAGATATGGTAAAATCATGTAAAATCTGACATTCAATCAGCATTGCAGTCAACATGAATAGCCACAAGCTTCCAGGATATCATATGCTATCTATGGATATGCAAGGCCATAGCCATATGAGCCATATGGGCCGTATGGGCCATATGTATAGATTGCATGTGTACCGTACCCGTCAGCTAATTGTGTCCGTGTCAGTGTCCGCCATGGCGATGATGCAAAGTCAGGCTTCGGATGGACGTGGCATCCGCCACTCCTCCCAGACAGAAGACACTCAGCTGAGACGTGTGGAGAATGTGGAGAATGTGGAGATTACACCGATGAATGGATGAACCACGATGAACCGACCCGATAGCCATTGATAGCCAACCAGCATTGTCCTTAGACTAAGGATCAGCTGAAGTTGGAAGGCCTGCCGTGATACTTTTCACACACATTGCAACTTCCACAAACATTTCCAGCAGATGCATCTGGGATCCCCCAGAAGCTTCCAAGACTTCGCTCCTTCACCCTCTTTGCCGTGTCAACACCTGGGTTAATGGTCAGGTGTGGACCAAGATAAGCACCTTTGGCATGGCAGAGATTCTGCGGTCGCACCTTGAACCAGGTTTCAGATTTTTGGAGACTCGTCTCCCTTTGGTGTGCAGCATGTTGTTGCTGATGCTGTCGAGTTGTCGAGTTGTCGATCCAATCCGGTCGCTTTCGATTTCGATCCAGAAGTGCTGCGCTTCTCGATCTTCTCGATCTTCTCGAGCTCAGGCAACGGTTCATAAGCACGTGGCGCACCAGCAGGCCGACGGTATCCGATGGTATCCGATGGTTTTCCGAGTTATTTTAGTTGCTTTGTGTCTGCATGGTGATCGTGTTATTGAGTGTCACCTGTGCCCAGGGCGCTGTGAAAGGTACCTTAGGCATGGTACAAGGCTGGGCCGTCAGAATGGGAGGTGGTCGGGAGAGCATCATAATATTCTAAAACTCATCAAAATCTGTGCAACTTGAAATGAATCAATTCGTTTGCGACGTGGATGTTGTGGCTTCTCTGTTTTATTCACAACGGAGTCTTTGTGGTTTCATGTCCCTCTGTTCTCAAGTAATGTGTGGCAGTCGCATTGTTCGATGTAGTCCCTAGGGAATCCATGCAAATCGTACCTGAACCAGGTGTGATCTTTCCCTGCATGGGGAACATCTTGGGTGTGATTCTTTTCCTCCGCGGTCCTTGGAGCCTTGGCACAGACTGGCACAGATACGTTTACTCATTAGGGATTTGTGGGCCAATGTATAGGATTATGATGCATTCTGATGCATTATGGTGGATTATGATGGATTATGTGGTTTTCTGATGGTTTCGAATGGTTTATCGGATTATTGTTCCAAAATTCCCTGTGCCAATGTTCTTGCGTAGGCAACTGACTTGATGTAATGTGTAGATTGTGTAGCAATGTATGCCGAAATCTGTCACGAGGATTGTGGGAAAAGGTGGCATTTTAGAAGCCTTCGGGGTTGGCGCAGTGTGCTGCACCTGGGCACAGATTGGCCATGGCGTTTGAAGTTGTTTGATGGCATTTTCAGCTTGGAATTCGGCAGATGTTGGAAGCACCGGTGCTTCCGGGTGCGGGCTCCGAGGCACCTGTACCTTTCTCACCACGCTTAGCCTCTCAGCCATCGCCACGAACGGCAAAATCGCTGGAGGAGGTGCATACTACCTGTGTCTTGGCACGACTTAGCACAACTTGGCAAGGTTCCAGGTCAAGGATTTTGCTCTAAAAAACAGTTTGCAGTTGTAGTTTGAGTATTTGTTATATATCAAATTATATCAATTCAGTTTGCCAATTAGTCCTTTAAGATTTTCATGCCGCTACTGTTGTGCATACTGACTTTTGGTTTGGTATTTGTCACGTTGTACGACGTCGTACATCACGTGAGGACAGGAGTCTCTCCCAGCTAAGGATTTCGCGGTCCTTAGGTCCGGCCTTGGGTGCTGGAGTTGGTCTGTGCTTTTACATGGCGACGTGGCTGATTTGGTTCGGGCGAACCCCGGGTTCGCCGGGTTCGACAGGGATCCACCAGATTCATCCCACCTGCGTACATGAGATACCTATGGATACCTATGGATACCTATGGATACCTATGGCATGTGCAACATCTTCCATCTCGAGCTTTGTTCAATCCTTCTTCATCTCCCTCTTTCACTGCATGACAATCAGCCCAGATCAGCAAAAATTCGAAAGAAGAGCAGGCTCAGAGACAGAGATTTGGTCCAGAAGTCTGAATACAGTACGAACAAATCCAGGCGAACTCCATTGGAGCTGCTATGTACTTCATGGGTTGTATCTTGGCAGCAATCAAAACGCACTTGGAACACTCGGACCTCAAAACCTCGTTTCAACAGTCAAGATCGGGTCGCGAGGTGTCGAAGCTTGGGAGATAGCTCAGCCGAATTACCAGCCCTTTGGCATCATGTGGCATGAGATCGCCATCTGCAATGTTTTGCTGCGTTTCACGTTTTTTTCCCCCATGTTTGTTCAAAAGAACCGTTTTGACCTTTCGAGTTTTCACATCTTTCACTCCAAATTGTTGTCATATGTCTCGTTTTTGGGCACCGAGGATAGGCGAGATCGGTGATTTGAACAATGTTCGATTTACTGGCTACTTGATCCTGGTCTTTGCTGTGTTCATCATTTTTGGTGGCATCAAGCATCTTGGCAAAGCTTTAAAGGCCTTCATGTAACTTCATGTCCCACAAAAGAAGAAACTTATGTCTCACCAGGTATGTTTCACGCTTGGGAACTGTGTTCCTCATGGTGGTGCTGTCGCGGACTCAGTTGTTTGTGCCACACGATATTTAAGCCAAAAGTGTCTTGCCACGTCAAGACTCGACTGCACTCGACTGCTTATGTTGCGGACACGGGTCATTTTTCCGCTCTCAGCTGTTGATGATGCACATCAGTGGCTGATGATGACGTTCTATGGCTTAAGGTTCGTCATACTGTGTATGTATGTGGGATGCCTAATGGGTCCCACTGATGGGCGGCCTTCCACTTTCACTGCCCCTCGGCTTGTGTCAGAGTGGTTTCCCTGTGTATACGAAGCAAACTCAACATGGAGGTGGAGACAGAACTTTGCTCAGAAGCTGTGCCCGCTGTGCCCAACAATCAAACCAAGTAGCATGTCATACTTGGCAAATTTTGCAATATCTTGGCATATCTTCATATTCTCTTCATAACTTCTCGTTAACTTCGCGTTCTCTTGTTGTTGCCAACTCGAAGTTGTTGCAGAGGTGCCCATTGTGGCGGAAAACGGGACGACGTTCGGGAAGACACTGACGTGGACAGGCCAGGATGCTGCGGTCTGTGATCACGTCAGATGATCATCATTTACAACAATCATATTGAAGGGACAGAACATGATGATCATTTGAATCATTTATTTATCATTTATTTATCATTTATTTATCATTTATGATATTTCATTTTCAATCATTTTCATGATTTTGATGTTGCAGATTCAGATTGTCAATTGACATTTCTGCCCTATGGGCCGGCGATGACACCGCAGGTCCTAGTGCTCAATCGTTCAGCGACAACTGGAAGTCTGCTTGGGATGCACCACAACTGGCGTTCCCCAAAGATACCACCGAGTGTCTTGGAAGGAGATGGGAACTGGTAAATGCAACACCTAGAATTATATCTTAGAGATATGTAGATAGATGATAGATATGATAGATGTTTCTTATTCTTTATTGAAATTTATCGGCATCAAACCAATGTTGATGAACATGACATAGAAGCTGAGTATTTCCAGCTTTATAGGTTTGTATAGATCTGTATAGTGAATTGGGAGTCTTCACCTGCCCTTTCAACTCAACCAACTTCACCGATCAGGAATGGAACAGCCGCGAGTTCAGAACTAGCAACACTATTTGTGTATGCAATTTGATCGTTTCCAACGCGCAAGAGGGTCAATTGTTGCCTAGTAAAGTTTGGAAGAGTGAATTAAGATGAGCCACGTCCAAAACCCCCCTATTCATTTTTAGTAAGAGGGTGGCAGTAAGGGCCTCTGGCGTAAGCCAAAATGTGGTGGGCGTAAGCCCGCGTAAGCTTTTTTGAAGCATTTCAGTGCGTAAGCTCCTGGCGTAAGGTCATACTTGCAGAGTTCCAACAGGACTTTTTTCAATTTGTAGCTATGTGAAATCCATGCATACATGTTGGACTACCTTTTTTGAAACATTGGTTTGCAACCCATGATAAAACTTAATTCTGCATGGCATCCCCTCTCTATCCAATACTACTCAAAGGGTAAGTTTGGGTCACTACATATCACACGAAACGTTTGCCAAATAATTCGCATGAGTGATCGGGCTGCCTTTTGGGTTGGTGGAATCGTGGCGTCTCGAGCCATTTTCTTGATCAATCATAGCCAAAGAGCCGGAGTGCCCACCACATAATTACGATTCCTATTATAAGCTAAAATTGGACAGAGGTTGACCCCGGAAATCCGCGTAAGCTCCGCGTAAGCCGCGCGTAAGGTCCGCGTAAGCCCACATTCCTTTTCTGAGTCCACAATGCCTCCCAAAGAAAGAGGCTTCTCTGAAGTAATGCCGCGCCGCCAACGGGAAATTGCGCAAACAATGTCTGACCTTTTGCAACGACATTGTCCTTCTATGGCTGATGCGACCCTCCTTCTGGACTTCCTCATCTTCATCTACTTCCACCGCATCTGATGCCTGACGGAGATTCCAAGACCATGGCATTCTGCTTGTAAAAATTGCTGCGCGTAAGCTGGCGCTGTGGTGGGGTGCAAAAACCTGTAAGCGTAAGCTCCGCGTAAGTGCAAATTCAACAAAATCCTTCGCGTAAGCCAAAACTGTGGTGGCGTAAGCAAGGCGCAAGCGGACGCGTAAGCATATCCTTATCGCCTTCAGAAGAACAGGACCTTTTGGACACAGCTCAGATGAATTAACCATAAGAAATAAGAACACAATAAAATGTGTTTTGTGTGTTTTGCTTTGGTGGCTTTGGTTTGGTGGCTTTGGTGGCTAGTGGTCGTCATTTTTTGGGTCGTCTTTTTCTGGATCGTTGTGCGGTATTTGGGGTTTATTAAAACATTACCCCAAATGTTTATTGAACTATGGAAAATGGAAAATCATCATGTGAAATTTAGGTAAATGATCAGGTACATGATGATTTTCCATTTTAGGTACATCATGATCAGGTACAGCTTTGTGAACATGATGGGTCTCTACTTCCCATCCGTGACCGGCATCATGGCGGGTGCGAACCGATCTGCCGACCTGGCAGATCCTACGAAGTCCATCCCAAAGGGGCGGCCTGGCGGAGAAAACTCTCCCAGTCCCAGGTGATCCAACGATTTCATATGATATACCTATGATAGAACTTGATATCTATCTATCTATCTGTCTATCTATCTATCTATCTATATATATATATCTATAACATGATTGATAATGTGTCAAGGATTCAAGGATAGCGGGATAACTGGATTTTAGGAAACTTAAGATGTGAAGAGCTGCCTGAAAGGAGACCTATAAATGGAAAACGTGAACATGCGATTGGAAGAGGGGCGAAATTGATTTGAGAAGATCTGGCAGGATCTGGGAGAATGTGGATCCAAGCTCTTGTACAGAGATTTCCCGTTGCGCTCCTGTCAACCTAGGACTCTCTTTGCACAGATGTTCACCAGTTTCATCTACCTCTCTTTTATTTTTGTGCCTTGTTTGCATTGCGTGTGCACCCTCAGAACCTTGAGTTGAAGGGAGTTCTAGCGATTCTCATGAATTCATATGAATTCTCATTGCTTTCGGAACTGGCGCAGGTCTTTGGAAGCGTTGCCCCTCGAGAAACTTTGTTGAACGACAAGTTCTTCGTGCCTTGGACCCGAGTCCCAACGGTCCCAACGAGTCGACGAGTCGACGAGTCGACCCCGACTCCCGAAGCGACTGCCGAAGCGACTGCCGTACCGTCCTGCACCGAGGCAGCCACGTCAGCGTTTCCTCTGAAGGAGGCCTTGGGCGTTTCCTCACAGCAAGCCGGTAAGCCATGGTAAGCCTGGGTGTGAGCGTTGCCGTGAAACATGTCGTGGTGGAACCATTTGGAACCCAATGTGGCCAGCTTTCACAGCTTTCATGTCGATGTTTCGTTGTCTCCGCATGTCTCCGCCTTTGGGTAGGTGGTGATCTACGGAGTCATGGCCTCGAGTCTTGGAGCTGGACTCAACTCTTTGGTTTCAGGAGCCAAGAGATAGCATCAGGTGGCATCAGGTGGCATCAGGTGGCATCAGGTGGCCAAGGTTGCAATAGGTTCCAAAGCTGGCAATTTTGTTCCATAGAAGAGGACATGTATAGACTTCCTTATGTATTTGCAGAACGCTTTCAAAAATTTGGGAGGCGACACAACTTCAAGAGGAATCTTCCCATGGCTTTTCCACGCATTGGGGTCAGCTTTGGCAGCTATGGAGGAACCAAGTTGCTGAGCGCCATCGCCGGTGATGGCACCCTGCCGATTCTGCGATTCTTCAAGGCTGTGTCTTGGTGCAAAAGGGCGAAGCACGCGGCAGGGGAACCCTCCGTATCTCGCTGAGGTCGTGTGCGAATTGTATCGCTTGTGGCATCTTCAATCTCTTCAATCTAAGACAATCTCACATAATCTAAGTATCCCAAAGCAGTCCTTTGTTCAAATGGCATTGCCATCTTTTGAACTTGTGAGTTTCACAAGCTGACACGACATGAAAAGCAGCAAGCTAGTTGAAGCTAGTTGAAGCTAGTCGAAGCCGGATTCCCTGGATCCAACCAGTCACTACTGAGACTCCGGGAAAAGAACCCCGCCTTGCACTTCTGGTCCCTTGGTCGATGTCCAGTCGTTGAACAATGTGCCCCACTGGCCATCCACTGGCTATTCGAAGACTATTTGATTACTATTTGACTGATGATTCATGATGATTCATGATGATTCATGATGATTCATGATGATTCATGATGATTCATGATGATTCACTGAGTTGCTACCAGCCACTGAATCAGAGACGCTGAGGCAAGTGGTGCACTTTGCGCCTTATCCATTACCATTGGTGAGCGGCGAACTTGGATGGGTTGGATCGGTTTTATCATGGTGGCTTCATGAGTGGAACCGTCCAGCATAAGTGGAGCCGAGGCTGAACGCCATTGCACCGCTTTTGACGATGTTCTTTCTCATGTGCTACACATGCGTCCCTTGGTGGAAAAAATGCATTGCAAAGTGCCCTTAACAACATCATCAAACCCAATGCATCAATCATCATCAATCCATCTCATCTAGACTTAGACATACTTAGACTCTTCTTGCCCGCCCTCGGTCAGAGCCAGGTCAACATGTCATGTACCATCCTGCACTTTGTGAGCGATCCAAACTGGCGACCGACCTTCCGCTATCATCACTGGTCCATCTCTCTGATAGCTGCGGCATTGTGTGCCGGTTGCTCAGTACGAGCTGACGCGCAAAAGCAGCCTAGCCATATGGCCAAGAATTGAAAGTAGCGATGCAATGGATGGAACTTTGGTGTGTAGAAGTATTTACTGACAATGATAAGAGTAATGATCAGATAAATACATGTAGTCACAGCATACGGATCTTTACGTTTACGCTATCGTTCTCAAACATAACAGTCATTGTAACAGCTGGATGATGTTGAGTCCACAGAGGTGTGGATGATGTTTGCTATGGCAGCTGTCATTGCTATGGCGGTGCCTGGTCTGAAAGATCTGAAAGATTGCACAAGAACACTGCAAGAACCATGCTTGTTTGGTAGCACAGATTAATCTCATCTTCTTCAAGTTCATCTTGTTCATTTGTATTTATTGGAGACTGACAAGTACAGTACAGTGATGTACAGTGTTTGGAATGTACTCGCACATGCAACTCGAAGGATTGGAACGGCAGAGAAAGTGCAACGTCGTGACGTAAATCGTTTTTATCAACATTTTGACGAAACCTGCAGATCCTGCAGCATTTTGCGTCGTTGGGCGCTACGTTAGCCCCCAGGCTTCACCCCATTTGCCGCAGCCTAAGGCTATTGCCTTCTGCAGCATCATCCTAGCGTACGCAGCCTACAACTCCGCTAACACCAAGTGGGGTGACGGTTTCCAGGGAATGAAATTTCAGCACCTTGGAAGCACAGGAAATTGTTGATATTTGTTGATCCAAGAGATACTGCACAGTAAAAACATTCGAAAACATCATGGAAAACATGTATCAAAGGTTTCTTGTTGAACCAACATGAGAGTTCTATGATCCATACATTCGCTTTTGAAGTGGCAAGAGGGTCGCATGGATTACCGCATGGATTACCATATACCATCCCCTTCTGCACCATGAGCTGTTCAGGCTCGCGAAAAACATCCTGATTAGCAACTCGGGCAGAAATGGAGAAACCGATTCGGACACCTCCAGTGTCACCTTGTGTCACATTGTGTCACATTTCGGCCCAACAAAAACCGACAGACAGGCAAACCTGAGCAAACCTGAAAGCCGATCATCAACATGCTCTGAGGTATGGATGCCAAACTGCACACCAAGAACTGGCGGCCACAATTGCCCCGTGGCACGACAAATCAACATTTTGCCCTTGCTCTTGGCAACTCCACATTTTGCGGACAGGTGTAGGTTGTATGACGGGCCTGATTTCTGGAAACTTTATGGATATGGACCTTTATGGATTCTGAGGCTAGTGGTGACAGAACCAAAGATGAGGCCATACTTGTGTATGAAGCTGCAGCACAATTGCTGTTTCGGTACAAGAAACAGGTGTTCTGGAACAAGGAACAACGTGAGTTTTCAAAAGAGAACACGTCACTTCGTTCCGTGAAAACCGCGTCAATGCAGGTCGCTCAACTCCTTCGAAGGATCAGCCCAAAACCCAGATGCCTTGACATTTTTCAAGCCATCGATTTCGTCGGAACCATCTCTGGATTTCTCTGGATTTCGATTTCTCTGGGACGTCGGATTTCGATGGATTTCGGGACCATCGGAACAGCATTGAAGAATATTGAAGATGTCCGAGAGATGTCCGTTCAGTATGTTTCAGTCCGAGAGTCCGAGGCTCTGATCTTCCCGGATCTGGGTCTGTTGAAGACGGCGTCGCAGATGAAGAACGGCCGCGGCTTCGTGGTCATCGGCGGCATCGTCTCGCACAAGGTGCGGTGTTGTTCGTGTTGCGGCACGAAGTCAGACTAAGCACGTCTATGTCGATATGGACCAAGATGACTAAGAATAAGATGTATTGAACATTATCGAACAATGTATTGAACAATGTATTGATACTCTGTTGATAATTACATATAATTACACTAATATACTTACTGTATTGAGATGTATTGAGTATCAGCTCATGGCATTGACATTGATGGCCCTGTTAACATCCTGAAACGGTCAGGTGAAAACATTATCTCAGGGTGGACTCTTCTTGAGCGTGGCTTGGCAAAACTTTGTGTGTTTTGAGGTTTTCTAACCCAGATCCTGATTCCTCGACATCCAACAACCGATTCGTCATCTTCGTTTTCTCCAGTTCTGCCTCCATCCGATCTATCCGATCTATGCGATCCATCCGATCTATCTGCTTCTGCTTGGACTTGAGCTCTTGAGCTCTTGAGCTCCAGGAGAAGATGGCGGACCAAGTGGCAGAAGGAAACTACGAGGTGAAGGAGCTCTTGCGAAAGTGCGCCGTGAAATCAGTGAAATCAGTGAAGTCTGAAGATTTCACTGCATCGATATCTTTGCATATGGCATATATCGCTTTCGGAGGCTTCGGAGGCTTTCCTGAGTCTTTCCTGAGTCTTTTGAGTGTCCGAGGTACATGATTGATGGCTTCGGAAAGGTGGTTTACTCGGACCGAGCTGGGCGAGTTGAGCTTTGGAAGGGTCATGATTCGTCATGATTCGTCATGATTCGTCATGATTATCATCATTCATGAAACTTAACATATTGAAATTTCAAATTCCTTTCCAGGCCTTTCAGGTCGAGGGCTCCTCCGGCTACTGTACAAGAGTAGAGTTACAAGCCCCTTACAAGCAGAAAAAGCCATGCCATGCGGCCATGCCTCTCATGTTGGGACATCGTCCCCAGCGCTGGACCGTGGAAGGACGACTTTGCCAACGGTCTGGCTAGCCTGGTACAGTCAGGTGGCATGGGCGCCTTCGAACCCAACTGCATATTGGAGCCTCAGCAGGAACTGGATCCGTTATGATCTGTAACTGGATCCGTTATGATCCGTTGGTTCATGTTGGTTCCCTCGGTCGATCAGTTGAAAGGTTTGAAAGGTCTGACAGGTGAGACGGAGGAGAGATGAGGAGAGTTGGAGAGCTCGAAACAGCACCGATGTCCCAGGCTTCATGGCCAAAGAATGTTCTGGACTTGGGACGCGAAGGTGTGGAGAAGAGATCCAAACTTGTACCCCGGCGACAGCTATTGGATACTGTTGATGTCATAACATGTACCAGTGTCATATGTGTCATACTGATTCATACTGCATGTTCCAGCGATTTCCAGTGTCAAAGTCTGATTCAGTCCCGTCATGAGGAGCACCCTGTGAGTTTGAGTGGAGTCGGATCAGTAAATCAAGTTGGCAGTAGGATTTCCCGAACCAGAGCCAACGTGCGTGGCACAATGTGGCACACTAGAATCACTAGAAGCCAAGTGCATTAGCATAGACATGATCTAGGACGATCTAGGCATTCTGTTGCGACAAAATGTTCCTAGGTGAATATGGTACAGCTGGAGGCTCAGTGCAGCAATCGGGCAGCTAAGACGTGCCGACTGTCACTGCTTAGCACTGCTTGGTTCGCAGCAGATCTCGACCGAGGATCTCCGCCATCTTTCAGAAGGCCCGGTGTCATCCTGTGAGATGCAGCCGTGGCTTGGTTTTTGTCGCACATGGCAGGTGATGATATTGACCAAGGGATTGGAATGGCCAGAGTTTGAGGCGCCAAGATTTCAAGTCCTTTCAGTTTCCCTCAAATGAAACACCAACACTGGAAGGAACGCCTGACGGGCAACATCGATATTTGGTGGATTGTTGGAGATGGAGGAGCCCTGGTGCTCAGCACAAATCAGCTACAGCTACAGCACAACAGTTACACTGACAGTTACACTACAGATACTACAGCTGTCACTAGATGTCACTACAGCACCTTCCTGGATTTCTTGAAGCCCAAAGCAGAGAAAGCAGCTCTGACTGAGCTCTGACTGAGCTCTCTCAGCTGTACTGAGCTGAGGTTCTTTTGTTGTTGCCCAGCCTCCTGAAGAAGCACAAGGTTTGGTCCGGCTGTCATATTCGGCTCTTCGTCTTGGCTGACAGGCGGGGAGATGGAGACGGTGGAGACGGTGGAGACGGTGCACCCCGAAAACATGAAAATCCAAGAGGTGAAGAAACGGGAGAAAAACAAATATCCAAAATATTCCAAAATCAAATCAAGAAGCTAAACTAGCTAAACAGATATGAGATCACACAGAGTTGGTTAAAAATGTGACAGATTTTTGTGAGATGCATCTTGCAGGGCTGGAGATGATGTGGACCAGATGCAGCAGGAGCTTGACACGTGCGCCCAAAAGACTGCCGCGAGCCCTTCTGCCAGTTCCATAGTCACGGTTTAGTCACGGTTATTATCATCATGTCAAATCATGTATGTGTTTGTTCTCAAACGACATCATGGGAGGTATGTTCGAGACTTCCGCTTGAAGATCGAAGTCTTTATCAAGGCAGGGTTGTGATTCACAGCGATTTCAGTCTCTAGGGTTTCTTGTGTCTGGATTTGGACAATTTCTGGAACATGGTGCAACACATGTTTGTTCTTCGGGAATGCTGGGAGAACACATTGGTCATAGTCATTTTGGAAATGCGTCAGGTGGTGGATGATGTAGTGGCTGGAATATCCAGAAGCGACACTACCATGGAGCCACCGCCAGATGATGCCGTGCCAACGGAGTACCATGCTGAAACATGCCGAAACAGCTGACATCATGTGTTCCGACTTCCGTATGAGATTCAAGACTTGGACGACAGATGCAAATGGTAACCTGATCAATCTGATCAATCTGATCAATCTGATCATTATCTGATCATTTTCGATTGAACAACGATTGAACAACGGTACCAGGCTTCTCGATCCTTTTCGATCCTTTTCGATCCTCGCCTTGACATTGCTTGACATTGCTCAGGCATGATGTGGAGGCCGGTTTGGCCAGCAACGACCTCCCCAAACGTGTGACGAGTGGAGCAAGCTTGCAGGTGGGGCAAAGCAGTTCTACTTGTGTTGCTATTGAAGAGATTTGAAGATAATGTCTGATGATATCTGGTGGTCTTGATTTGGGGTTGTTTGACATTGCATCGTTGATGGTTGAAGTGTTGTAGAATTGTTTGTGATTGTTGTTTTTTTTTCTCACTGTTCCAGAAACTATGAACATTTTTGCTAGAGTTTTTTTTTTAGTAACTTGTTTTTATGAAGTTTTTTTTGCGATTCTGTTGAATCCTGTGCATCTCAGGAGACTCTGAACCGCTGGCGTGGACGGCAGCAGTTTCAGCGTGAGAGGTCTTTCGACAGCCGAGGCGAAACTCAATTTGTGATGAATCCGATTGAATCCGTAGTGATGCCATGCCTGATATGCCTGATATGCCTGATCCACAGATTTGTGATTGATGTGAGTGATGTGATTGGGGCTTCAGAATATGTCAGAACAAGGAAATACTATGTCACCAATTGTCACCATATATCACCCATTGGAGGGTCATTGGACGCCATGCCATGACATGCACTGAATCTTCCCCTTATGGCCCTGCAGTTAGCGGTGGTTCTGGTCCAGAACATCATCCGAACTCGGGAAATCCTGGAGGATCCTGGTGTCTCGGCGCAGTTAAAACAAGGCCGGATATGCCGGATTCTCCTGGAACTGAGGTCGACGCGACACTTCACACTGCACAAACATCGGCAGCAATTCCCTGAGCGACTTCCACAGTGGGCACCTGATCCGCCCTTGCTGACAGCAGAGGAGAGGCTTCGTCGTTTTTACATGTTTTTACTGTGTTGTTTTGTTCCCATTTGATCACTGACTGCATAACTTATCATAACATGACCTTGATGACCTTTGACCTTGATGACCTTGATGAACTTGGTGCTTCTAGTACTACCAGAACTTCCCCGAAGCGGTGCGAGGAGCTGGCTGCCATGAATAGCATGACGGATCCGGGACCTGGAAGCAAGGCGGGCGCCGGATGGCGCTAAATCATGCTCCCTTCATCAGATTCAGATAGATTCAGATAGATTCAGGTAGATTCATTGGATATAAGTGATAGAAGATATGACTCAGATATGACGAGATTTCAAGTTCTGTCGCCAGTTCCCTACGACTTCGATCGACCAATTGTGGCTCGGTGATGGGACCTGTCAGCCATGGCATGTCAAATTCCTACAGTGATTTTGGCCAACTTTCCACATGTTTTGAAACATGTTCGCTGCAACCCCTAGGTTTGCCTGCGGCCAATCCCGCATATCTTTTGATATGCTCAAATCATCTCAAATCCCTGCGCAGGGTTTAAGTTTTTTACTTCCCAAAACAACAAACACCAAAACTCTAAAACCTAAAACCCTGAAACCTAAACCCTAAACCCTAAATTAAAACCCTAAATCCTGAAAACTTAAAGTCAAAATCACTGCGTATAGCCAGTGTTTTCATTCATCCTCTGGTGATAAGTATATAAGTATATCACATTGTTTGGATGTATTGTTTGAGTGTGGGCGAACCAGGGGGTTGCGGGGAACATGTTTCGAAACATGTTTCGACACATCTTCCTTTCAACGACTGCACCGCACCAAGCCAGCACCAAGGCGTTTTGGTGAACATGATCACAGTGGACTGCAGCGGGTGATCAGCGAGAACAGTCAGCTGAACCGCATTCACAGTGGAGGGGAATTCAATCGACAGGTGAGTGTGGAAGGCCAGCTGCTTCTGCTGCTGTGCAGGGGTCATTCTTTTGGACTTGCCTGGTGCCTTTGATGGACACGTTGAAGTAAAAAATCGTAAAGAATTGGAGATTTCTCTCACAATCCGTTTACATATGGGCATCATGGGCATTGTGGGCATCGTGGGCTGTGCAACTGCTCCGTCTGTGTCTCTGCAGACTTCCTAACGTTTCATGTTTTTTCTTTTGCTGAGTGGATGGCATGATGGCCAGGAGGCAAGCGGACCCTGTTCCTCCATGATGTGCTTCGGACATGTGTTGACGTTGACTCGAAATTTCCGGTGCCTCATGGAGCTGAATTCATCGTTTCAGTTGCATGGACAGCATCAGATATCTAAAAGGGCTGGATTATATCAGAAAAGCTGTGCCCTTCCATGAGATTGTCAGATTGTCTTGAGACTGCTGAGTTCAATTCAACGGCTTCCAACGACTTCCAATGGCTTCAATCGAGCCAGGCCCGACAGCTTGCAGCGACCTCGCCATGTTCACCTCAAGAGCTCTCGGTGGGGAGCTGAGAAACGGAAATCGGACCATTCCTTGGTCGTCAGACATCCTGTGGCCTCAAAATCTTCAAAATGGGGAGTAGAGCGAGTAGGGCGAGTAGGGGAGTACTTTCCTGTTGATGGGTGTCTTGCCGAAGTCTTGTTATCCACACTCTTCAAACAAGATGGCACCGGCATTGCAGGTGGTATCCGTGCTCAACAAAGTGATGCTGGAGGACAAGCAATCTTATTTTCAACGTATGCAAAGTGCCTGGTGACTTTCTATCCAGGTATACAAGAGCATGCCAGACGCTCCCAAATGGTTGCACTGCAGCCTAGGAGTCGCGTGGAGCGGAACTCGTTTGCACCAACCTACCGGATATGCTTTGACCTTGGGACGCCTTGGGACGCCTTGGGACGCCTTGGGATGTGAATTTTGTGGATGCGGATCACATGAATCACATGAGTCTGTGGCAGTACTTGGAAGCACAACAGGCTGTTACAATGGCTGTTACAATGTTGCCTAAGGCCACCTTCGGACAGTTCGCTGGGATATTGCCAACTGGTTGAGGTGCTTTTGTGTAGCTACGAAGCACCAAGTAAACACGAAGCAAGCACGAAGCAAGCACGAAGCAAGCAGAACATGAAGCAAAACAGCAAAATGAAGACATATGAAGACTAATGGTTGACTAATAGTTGACAAGTGTGCAGACAATGTGCTTTTGGCGCTGCGTGAGGCCATGACAGCAGAAATGAAGAGAGTGATTTTGGTTCGAGGTGCGTAGCGGATCGTAGCGGCGTAGTGGCAGCTGTTGGTTCCGTCAAAGGCATTCATAGCGGTGAAACATGGCGAAGTTTTCTGTTTCCGCCGTTTCCGCAGGCACCTCGAGTGAGGTGATCACTGCATTCACGTGATAGGACCGAAATGTGGAAAGGCTCTCTGGACGCACCGAATATCTGGATGTATTATGACATATTTTGAACTATATTATATATTATTATATTATATCATGATGTATTCGCATTTTCAACAGTTTGCACATATTTCCCAATATATCCAATCGGCTGAACATATTGAAGTCTTGGAGCTTTGCAAACTTTGCAGTGGAGGAGCATGTACTTTGCCCTGGAGGGTGCAAGGTTGCTGAGTTCTTTTGAACGAAACCGTTCGACCCATGCAGCAAGAGATACCAAGAGATGTCAGATCATGTGCAGTATTTGTTCATTCCATTTTGGTGATGAAATCTGATGTAGGATAGAATCTTAGAACAGACAAGAGAAGCCCCCTGCTCAACCAGCACTGTTTCACAAGGCAGTATTGTGCTCGAAGTAATTCGAGCAATTTCGAGCATTTTTTCGCCGTGCCGATTTGCACATTTTGCACCAGTCTAGAAGCCAATGAGTTTTCCGATCTCTTGGACCAGTGGTTGCGATGGTTGCGATGCTTGCGACTCTGAACATGTGACCTCTTTGGCACCAAGTCACCAAGTCAATCCTGCCTTGTGCGGTTAATCGGTCAATCATTCAGACGCTGTCTGTTAACTGAGTTCAGTCACTGGATCCTTCATATTTGGACCACACATATCGCTCTAAGAGCAGTATGTGAGCGGCGCGATGACCTTTTTTGTCTCAGGGATGGCCAACTATCAGTAGGAAAAATCCATTCAATTTGACTTGGACACATGTTGGACCATTTGGACCTCTCTCAGTCATGTTGGCCGTTGGCCCCCTAATAATTTAACATCCACGGCACTTTCTCGAAGAATTCGAGTGAGACACAAAGCTGCCTTCAAGCTTGGTGTGTTCTGACGGTGTCCACAGCAACTTGATTCGATCTTACTTTACAGGTTGTTTCTTCTTTGTTTAACCTCTTTCTTTGGCGCCTCCGTAAAAAGACGTGTGAGGAGCACACCTGCCAGCCACGAGAGTGTTCATAGAGAAATGTAAAGAAACAGTGTTCCACCATTGCGAAGACAAAGTGAGAGACTGCCGCTGCCTGGGATGATTTGAGCCAAACTGGTGCGATGAACAAATGATTCAAATGATACAAATGAACAAATAAAGTCCCGCCAGAATTTCAAGCTGTTGTCATTTGGCAACCAGCTGGCCTGAGGTGTGAAATGTCAACGTGCTCCCTCGCAGATTGAGAACTCCAAGACGGCCCGGAGAGCACAGAAACCTACAGAAACTGAGAAATTGACAAACTGTTTCTGATCTTATGGAGTTCAGGGAGCTATATAACGCTTTTGGTGCCCCAAAATCCCAGGAGAGAAAAGGGAAGGCTAGGATAGATATGATGAAGTGATGTGGTCCTGTGGTATTAGTATGGGCTAGTGTTGATGTTTTTTTTGACATGGTGAATGAAGTGGGTTTCTGCAAAACCGCATTGTCGCATGGTGGTTCAAAATTGGGAGCTTTGGGAGTTCGTTTGAACACGACGACCCACATGTGAACGACGTGAACGACATGGCTGGTTTACCCAAAGGCCATTGGTTTCACTTCTTCGCCGTGGCGGGTAATTTGCATCCGATCGAAAGCCTTTTGGTCTACTGCCTTACCTTTGGAGTGTTACTAGCTCCGCCACATCTGAAGACACTTTTCTATACAAACTGCTTAGTACAAGTGGCTATTTTCTTACCCTTTGTTCAGATTCCGGTTGCACTTACCGGGCATATGGTGTATGTTGACATTGGATGGCCGAGTGGGCTGGTAGCCATTGCCATTGTGGCACTGATGGGCACCGGCTATTGGCTCCGGCGTTGGTTGATCTGCGCCTGCTATTTGTTGCATGGCGGACGAATGGCCCTGGGTGCCCTGGTGATGTTCGGTCAAGCCACAGGCTTCACGTATCGCTTTCAAGGAGATCTTCCTCGGTATCGTTATGCGAAGCACAAGTGGACAAAGATTGATGGAATGCCAGAAGGATGGTGGTGGATGAAGATGCAACAAGATACCTTCGGCCAGGGTTTGTCCAATTCAGTGTTACTCTGCGTCCCTGCTTTTTTGGCAGCAAGCAATTCAGAAACTGCCTTGCATCCATTAGAATGGATAGGTTTGCTCACATGGCTGTGTGGATGGATCTTTGAAAGCTCTGCAGATATGCAGAAGATGTCGTTTATGGTCGAGCAGAAACAGCAACACAATGCGACGGCGACGTTGGGATTGGCACCAAATGATAAATTCCTTTGGACACTCTGTCGTCATCCCAACTACTTTGGTGAATGGATGGCGTGGCTTGGCTTCTCCATTGCATCTTTGCCATCATTCCAAGTTTTCTCAGGCTATGAGATTGCCACGCTGTGTTACTTCTTAGCGATTCTGCTCATTCCTCGGCTTCTCTACGATTGCTTGGTGCATTGGACAGGTGCAGGTCCAGCTGAGCACTACAGCGTGAAGAAACGTCCCAGCTACATGGACTATCAAAAGACGGTTCGATGCTTCTTTCCGTTCCAGCTTCCATTTGTAGACCATCATCAAGAGGAAGGATGGCCAAGCTTCGAGGTGGAAAAAAGCTCCTAAAACATCCTAAAATTTAAAACATATGAAAACATGAGGAGAAAACATGAGTCAGTAGGTTTCTGAGAGGCTACTCCGCTGGCAGGAGAAAAGACAGTGCTGTTGATATTCAAAATGAACAGCTACCCAGCACTGCGTTGGATGAAGATCAGGGACTGGGTGGGCAAAGACGGTACCCTTACGGTTTGGAGATAACTTGATATTACTTATATTACTACGATTTATATCTATATTTATATTATTATCATTTTCTATCTGACCGTCAATGAGTTTTGTGTTTCGGGCAGGACCTGCCCTGATGGATGCAGCGTTTGCCGAGGCCTTGAAGTGGTTGCGTGCCAAAGTGCAAGCACACCAAGATGCGCAAAGGCCAGAGAATGTGAAGTGAAAAGGACGACAGGATGAGCAAACTGTTGCGGAGAGATATTTTTCATTGTTTTTTTTGGTCAGCTATAATACTGCTATAATCAGTGTAATGTATCAACTTTTGGCAAACCCTGTGAGGCGCCAGGAACGTGCCAAACATCAACGCGTTGAAGCCTCTTCTGCCTCCGATCGACGAATACGCGGCTTGGAGGAACGGCTGAAAATGATCGAACTGATTAAAGCCGTTGCTTTGCCAAGTGCATGGTTGAAGATTTCATAAGATTTCAAAGTTGAGGCTTTGCCGGTCTTGTGAGTTTTGTGTTATTGTCATTTATTGTCATGGTGTACGTTGAGGATGCACATTGCTTTCAAAGTCTCAAGGGCCCCTAGGGCGGTCTCAAGGGTCTCCCCAACCAAGCAGCTGAGCCGAGGCACCTACACTCTGCATCCGCAGGCTGGGGCTGCTGGATGCTGCTGAGACAGGATGCCGCAGGATGCCGCAGGATGCCGCAGGTGTCAGTGTCAGTGCCGCTCCAGGAACTGGTGAAGGATCATCGCTTCAGTTTGCAGACGCGGGATGCGGGCGCAGTGCTTTCAGGCCATTTTTGCGTTTCTACGATGAGCAGATGAATCACTTGAGGTGGATTTCAGGAGTGGATCACTCAGGATCATCCTATGAATCCAATTGAATCCAATTGAATCCATATATTTCGATGTGCGAATGGGGAACTCAGTAACTCATTCCTTGCATGTTTGATCTGTGAAGCAGTTTTCAGGCGATGCCCTACAACCCTTCTTGGACTGTGGAGTCCTCTGGGCAGTTGCGCAAGAATGGAGGGCCGAGCAAGAAAAGGGAGCAGCAAAAAGTTTTGCGGAAACCGCGAGACACTCTTCGCTTGATCCTTTGAAATTTACTGCTTGATGAAACATTTGAGTATAGAGTACGATACAGTGTGATAGAGTTACAAAAATCTCAGTTTCTGTGGCATTCGTGTGCCAAGAGTTGTCATGTCCCACATTTGCCAAATCCAACACCCCACTGCCACGCAGGCATGTGCAATGCCCACTGTTCTGACATCAGAACATGGTATGCCTCCAAAGGCTGGACAGACTGTAGAGATCTGTAGAGTTTTTTGTTTCTGCAAGGGTTGCCGTGTTTCGAGTGCTTGCCCAGCATTGCCCTTAAAATCATGTTTTCTTACTGGAAGGACTGGCCCTTCGTCGAATTCGCCGTGAGAGCAGCTTGGGCGGTGCCTTTCTCAAAGTCTCTTTTTTTTCAACAACTTGAGTGCAATGCAATGTGAGCTGTAGGAAGGAGTTAGCATTTTGCTGCGAAAACCGGTTTCTTTTCATGGGCGAGTTGCGCAAGGCTCCACGACCATGCACGACACTATCGACAGCATCGTAAACATGCCACGGGTTTGACAAAATCAGCCATACTTTACTCTCCAAGCTCTTCCAGACTCTTTCGTCCATGAAATCGCGATTCATTCTTCAGGACAGCCAGAAAAGGCAATGACGTGAAGAGTGATGAACAAGGGTTTCAACAAGTGTTGTTGGTATGGAAATTATGGAATTTCTGGATGTTTTTCTGGATGTTTTTTGATGTTTTTATGGAGTGTTTCTGTGGTTTCTGTGTGCTCCACATCTCTGTTCCGCACGACATGGAGCTGTCGCTGCCGTCGCTGCCGTCGCTGCCCAGCGCACCAGCGAGCGCACCCCGAGCGCTTCGAGCAGCGCCGGCTCGGAGCACAGCTGGGTTCTCAAGGAACTCAAAGAGCCCATGGGAACCCCAAGGGTTTTTCACCTTTTTTGGATGCCATTGGTTTCCAACAATTTTTTTTAAAACATGTATTATACATTATTATACATTATTATACATTATTATACAACATATATACAACATATATACTTATACAAAATGTGTACAACATGCATCAATATGTATTGTATGCATTTGCATGCCATGTATCTGTTTCTGTGTGTTTCTGTGTCTGATCTAGGTGCCCCACGTGCCCTGGCGTTCCGCTGCCTTGGCCGCTGCCGTGCCCGGGCTCCGCCTCTGTCGCTTGTGCCGGCCCGGGCGCAGCCACGTCCGTGGCCACGTCCGTGGCCACGTGGCCCGTCGAGGCGCCGTGGTGGAAGCTCCGGAGGCGGCGGCACCGGCGAAAGCCGCGAAAGCCGAGAGTGCAGGCTGGGCTGTGCACATGTTATCCACATGTTATCCTGTGATTAACCATGATTAACATGTGTACAACCGTTCAACCTGTGTTTTTTAGCTGTGTACAGCTGGGGTGCAAAGGTCCAAAGATAGATGGGGTATGCCCTGGACAGGGAGAGATGGTGGTGACAATTTTGGGTGATTCTTTTGGAGCAAAGGATTTTGGTGGCAAGAGAAGTGGATAGGAAATGCCACAAATGCCCCAAAGAGCAGACCCCACAGCCAGAGGTGATCTGGCCGCGGAGATACGCGGAGATTTCCCTGCGTTGCGCACCGATGCCTATATGGGCGTGCCATTGATCTATTTGGACTCAGGGGCCAGGGCACTCAGCCATCTACTTTGGTTGGAGTGGTAGCCAGCCATTTGTACTTTGTGGATCTTTGTGGCAGGTAGTCACCCTTGCAACTTCTGTGAATCAACGTTAGCTCAAAACGTTGTGCAGTTGTCCCTTGAAATCCACTGTGCAGTGATGGTGCAGGCGACTTCTCAAAAGCCTTCCTGTGTGTTACAAGCTCTCACAGAGTACTATGCCACCGGCTTAGTTTACTTCAAATGATTGGACTTGGACACCATCTTGAGAAAGCCATTGGGTATCCAATTCGTCTTGGAACGAAGGACACATATCTGTAGCAACTGGTCTCAGAGAGTCTCTGAGTACAATTCCTGTTGATTCTTTGAGTTGAAAATATTGAAGGTATCATAAGTTCATAAGTGATTCATAAGTGATTCATAAGTGATACATAAGTGATACATAAGTGAATCATAAGATTCATAAGGTATCCTTTTGTGTCGTTCTTTTGCATCGCCTTAAGGAGCACTCAGCCAATGTGCACCGTGGAGCCTATGCCCTGGCCGAACGTGCCACTGAGGCACAGTCCTCGGTTACCCAAAACGTCCAAAAATCTGAGAATTCTGCAGGATACGCTATCCAGCAAACTTGGCAGCCACTTGGTTTTCAGTGGACGATTCAGATCAAATTGATAGAATTGATCGAATTGATCGGATTGATCGAATTGATCGAATTGATCGGACTGTATGCAAATATGCAACTGGATGCCCATTGAATGCCCATTCCGCTAGGCCTTCGAGCATGCGAGAAGCAGCGTAGCAGAACTCATTGGTGCAAAGAGTCCAGAGGAGTTTCTTGGAAGATGACCCAAGAAATCACCTGCCGAGAGGACGAGTTCAGACCCAGAATGAAAGGCCAAATCGGCCCAGAATGGTGTTAGGCAACAAAGTGCTGCTCGCATGGGAGTAAGATTCTAGGGGCTTTTGACCACAGCTGAGCTGAGATGAAGTCATTTCACGTCAACAGTTACTGTTCAGTTGTTGTGATGTTTAGACTTTACTTCTTCCGTTGCAACAACATCAAGAAGCAGAACATGCTAAAACAATCTAAAACATATCAAAACCGAACATATTGCAACTCGCCAATGTTCATTTTGTTAGGATCATTTTCACCTCTGGTGCTACGGATGCCATCAACCTGGTGGCGGAGAGTTGGGGTTCAGTCAACCTGAAACCGGACGATGAGGTTCTCATCACTGTTCCTTGGCGTTTGGCGTTTTGCAATATCACATCATATGCAAACAATGTATACCTTGGAGGATTTGGACCGAACATAAACGAAAAGTCTGGGCAAATGGAATTCCTTCCAAAGAAGTTGTAGTCTTATTCAACATTATTCAACATTATTCACCATTATTCAACACTTGCAGCAGGATTTTGACCTTAACTTGACAGGTCATGGAGCATCACTCCAACATCGTCCCATGGCAGTTCCTTGGCAGTTCACAGCATTGATGGATCCAGTGGCTTTTTTTTTTCCGTAGACGCCGGATGCGGAAAACAATGGAAGTGTTTGAATCATTGAGTCATTGGAGTCTAGTAATTGAGTCTAAGTCAGTCTAAGTGACTAGATACCGTTTAATGATAGCTGGCTGCTGCAACGACTCATGACGAGGCTGGCCACACAGAGGACTGGAGCAAAGCTGAAGTGGGCTGGCATCACTGACGAGGCACAGCTGTGCCAACCGCCCTGTTCCCGGATTTGTTCCGTCGTACGAGTCGTACCGCAGGGGAAGCTGGATGTGGAGGAGTTCAAACGTCTCCTAAGTCCCAAGACCAAAATGGTGGCGTTCGTTCACATCTCCAACACACTGGGCTGCATCAATCCAGTCTCTCAGCAGTGCCAGTGTCAGGATTGCTGAATCATGCTGAATCCATGTTTTCCCTCTGTTCAGAGAAAAGGTTCATCCAGGATGAAAGATATGAATGTCAGATGAATGTCAGATGAATGTCATGTGGTCCCATATTTGGCTGAGCATTGTGACCACCGGTGTCCCCGCTACGCTGGATGTTTGAAGTGGTCTCCGGTGAGGTCAAAGAGATGGCGGACGCCGCGCATGCCGTGGGAGCCAAGGCTGGAAAGTTTGAGCTGCATGGGACAGGGCCACAATTCGAACAATGGGCCACAGGTTGGATGCAGAAAAAATTGAAAATGGTGTGCTTACGACTGATTCATTGATTCATTGATTGGTTGCTTGGATGGTTCAACTGATTCAACTGTTGATTCCGGTTCATTGATTGATTCCTTATGTGTGCTTCTTACCGGATGGATCTGGATGCATCCCGATGGAGAGGTGCTTTTGGACGCTTGTCAATCTGTACCACACCTGAAAATTGAAGCTTGGCCTCACGTAGCGTATCACATTCCTCACATAGCGACTGCAGCTTGTGCAATGTGAAGTTCGCCTCAAGTTGTTCGTGGGCCACCTTAGCTCCCAGGATGTGGCTGAGCTTGGCGTTGACTTCCTGGTGGCTTCCAGTGCCTTTGGCAAAAGGCACCATTTATTGGGTCTTTGGTCATGTGCCACCAAAAACCTCGAGAGGTCTTCATTCAAATTCTCTAACGAGCATGAAGGTTTTCATTTTTGCTCCCCTGCACTTCAGACTTGGATGCTTTGCTTCATTTACCCCCAGATGACCTTCACTTTCATGAAAAGTGTTGTGAATGAGTCTTTGATGTCTCTATGTCACAGTTGATATTTCTGATATTTCGAATTATTCTTGGGACTCCAAGTCTTCTCAACTTGGGAGTTCAATTTTTGTTCGCATGTTCCATTTCTATCATTTTCTATCCACTTCTCTTTAGTGACTCAGGTCACAAGATGTATGGCCCAACCGGCGTGGGTTTCCTCTGGGGCAAGTCCGAGATCTTGGAGGTGAGTTCACACAGTAGACCTTTTCAACGGACACATCCAACAAATTCCAACAAATTCCAACAAATTCCAACAATATCTAGTACATATCATGTTACATATCTAAATATATCTAATGCATCCATAATATGATCATATGCATATCAAATACAATCTCTTTGCTCTCAGAATCATGCAGTTCTACAAGTTTCCAACTCAAACAGAAGAGATGAGAATGGAGTGCAAATGTATGCCAATGTCATATCCTCCAAAACTAGGAAATCCACCACGAAGTAAGACAGAATAAGAACAGAGGAATGGTACGAGCGCTGCGCAGGGCATGCCTCCCTGGAAAGGAGGTGGGGAGATGATCAAGGAGGTTCACATGGCTCCTCGGAGAGAAAACCTCTGGAGATTTAATGGCACCATCTCTGACAGAGCCCATCATTTCAGTTTCATCACTTTGGGTGTCAAATATTGTGAAATACTTCAAGTAATTATTTTTGAGCTGACGCTCAGCGTCGGCTCCGCCGGATTACTCGACCCTCCATTTCATCGCAGTGTTCCGCTGGGAAAGCTACTGCCACTGGCTGGGGTCGGTGGATTCTGAAATAATGCAGTTTTGCGCAGTGAGGTGAAAAGAGATGTTACTGCAATATCGAAATCGAGAAGTCAAAGCAGGCAACAGTCGAGCGGATATTGACATATGATTAAGACATATTAAGACATATATCCAATAGCAGCAGTTGGTTACCGAGGATGAGTCTTACTATGCAGATGTGCCTGCACGCTTCGAAGCTGGCACACCGCCCATCGCACAAGCTGTCGGTCTAGGCTGGGCGCATGCGAAGAAAGATGGAGAGCAACGCTGTCACTGCCATTTCATTAGGACAAAACGACACAAACGTCACAACCCCCTGTAGTTTCATCATGTTTCATGATGTTTCACGATGTTTCACGATGTTTCAGAATCGATGCCGAGCCGAGCCAAAGGCTGGGCTGGCATTGTTTGCAGGTGTTGCATGCGACTATTTGCTGCGCATCGGGATGGATCGGGTAGAGGCCTATGAGCAGGAACTTTCCAAATATCTTTGGGAGGCCGTTCCTGGGGTGGAACAGGGTGCAGTTGGGCAACTTTCTGTGGGAACTGTGGCACCTGTGAGACTTGGCTTGGTTTCCAGAAACATGGCTAAATTACACTAAATTCATCTAAACTCCGGGTCGCACTCATTCTTCACAAGTTCGCATCTAGCAATGGTACTTGCTGGGCCTAAAACTGTATCTAGTGATGCTGTCGTTGTCCATGGTCATCATATAGTTTCACCAGATTACTGCAGTTTTTGTTAATCTTCTCACAGAAAACCCAGCAAAATCTGACAAAAAGCCAGTATTTCACCACTGTCACTGCGCCAGTCTCTGAGCCGTGTCAATGGGCTGAAACTCTATGGCCCACCGCCTAGCATGGGCCCTCGCGCTGCGCTGGTGGCCTTCAACGATGTGTGAAGAACTCAGAGCTGCCGTGGCCACTTTTGGTTTCCAGTTGTAACCTGTTTGCGGAATTTGCGGAATCCGGGAGTCTCTATGGAGCAACTAGAAACAATATGAAACAATATGAAACAATATGAAACAATTATAAACAATCTATGATGGGTTTGAAGATCTGATGTGAAGAACATGAGTTAAACTCTCAGTGCTCAGAATTTGGCATCCAAACAATATTCTCAATTTCCTCTTCTCAACTCGGCGAGACCTTCCTGATATACATTGATATGCTGCTTTGCTACGGACCATCTGAATTTTCATCAGTAACAGTATCATGCACTTGCTGCTTCCCCAGGGAGCCAGACATCTATCCACAGGAGCCGGGACGGGATCAAAGTCGAAGCCGATGAAACCTGTTTCGATTTAAGGGAAGTGATAGCGAATCCATTCGCCCCTTTGGACATTTTAGACATCGTAATGCCAGAGGCTTGTGTTGATTGGTGGTCAAATCACTTGGAATCCCAATGAAGTCCAACAAGCGTCAGAAACTGGCCATTCCAACTGGCCATTTCCAGGATGTAGCTGGTGTGCTTGATGCCGATGGGGTGGCAATTAGAGCTGGACACCACTGCGCCCAGCCGTTACACAGGCAGAGATCTGCATCCCAAAAGACAGTTCCGGATTTGGGCGCAGTTCCAGTTTTCTTTCAAGATGTTCTGCTGAAGAATCTTCAGCAACCTTCAACACCCAAGATAAACACTATATGAGACTATATTATATGTGTATATACATATATAATCATATATATCTATATAATATAAATATAATGTAATTGATCTATGTTTTACTTCATCAACACCTTGCCCGTGTTTGTCTGACAACTTTGTAAATGCGCTGCGCACTTGGCTCTGGATGCGGACATGACATTTCACTGTGCCAGGGAGATGGGTGCAACTTATGGCTCTGCCCGCGTATCATGTGCATTCTACAACACCAAGGCGCATCTTGAGATGTTTGTTCGATCCGAAAACGCAAGTCGTTTCGAGTCATTCTTGGGGTTCTGGGAAACCATTTGGCTTTGAAGTCTTAAATTGCTGACAGGAAGAGATCGACAAGCTGCTTGGATGCACTTCTTCATCTTTGTTGATGGCCATCGGGTATCAGAACGTCTCAAGTAGAACTAGGGTGACCAATCCCACTTGTCTCTTTGCTTATACTGTTATACTTGAGACATCCTGAGACAGAGACACAACAATTTGTCACTGGATTCGACTGTTCTCAGTACATCTCAGTACATCATGGCAGCCAGGTTCGTGGAAATCCTTGATGAAGCTCTTGAGACAGTGAGGCCATGCCGATCCAACTGTTGAAACATGTTTAACATATTTACCAAATATGGAAGAAAATACCCTGAAGTATGGAAGAAAGATGTGCAAACTCAGATCAGAGATTCACCAGGATGTACTACGTACATCTACAAGATTCTACAAGATTCTACAAGTTAGACCTTACATAACTTACGGCGCAGTTCGACATGAATTCTTTGGCGGAGCACGGATTATAAGGCAACTGAGATGGATCCCAAAATGTTAGAAGCGAGGTGTACATTGGATGATTTCGAGCACACTTCTGTAGTGAAACGCCTCACAGATCCCTTTATGATCCTTTATGCCTTTCCGGCAGCGGGTTTCAAATACAGTTTTTCAGTGTCGGAGGGTGTCAGAGGGTGCAACGGTGCAACGACTCTTCCAGGTCTGGAGATGCTTGTGTTTTTGATCCGGATGACCCGGACTCGTGCAACTGTTCCAGTTCCAGGAGAAAAGGGGCCAGGAGGCTGCAGAGTATTGGAACGTATTGGAACGTATAACGTGACATTGTGACGTATTGGAACTACAAGCTGTAGAGTTTCTGAGAGTTCTGAGAATGTTTGTCCACAAGCGTGTTTGCAGGATGCGGTCGTGATACCTTCGCCGCCACACTTTTTTTGAAGGCTGAAGTACATTGGACATGGACTGAATCAGAACCCAAACAAAGTGAACAAAGTGAACAAAGTGAACAAAGTGAACAAAGTGAACAAAGTGAACAAAGTGAACAAAGTGAACAAAGTGAACAAAGTGAACATGACTGAACCACTTTTTTGTATCAAAAGGATCCAACAGAATCTGCCGAGAGTGGAGCGCAGTGTGCGCAGAGTCCGATGGCAGTTCGGCGCGGCCAATGGTGCCGCAGTCCGTTCCACCCGTTCAACCCGTTTCACGGCACCATTTTCCGTTCCACGGTCTGGTGAGGCTGTCAGGAACGATGGCATGAAATGGCATTCATTTTTATTGCGAGTCAGTCGATTCTCCAGTGTTGGACAACGCTACCTATATGCAGAAAGCACAAAATGATTCATGACTACTGTCTTTGTATCGACTGTTTTTGTTGACAGTTTTTTGTGGAACACCAGCAACTCTACGTTCCAATCTTCACACAGAATCCAGTTGAATCAAGCAACCTAATTGGCAGTCGTTGTCAAACTGTGCATGAATGTCTCGGGAGGAATCTGCAGGAAGGGAAACACTTGGGACAAGGAAATGCCGAAGAAAGTCTGGTCGATGCTGTTCAGCCTCGCCATCTACCGAGTGGAGCATCAGAATCTCCATTTGGGTACTCAAAATCATGGGAAACTATGGGAAATCAAAGATATCAGACTTATCAGACGGATTCATGGCACGTGAAAGGAAACAACGTTTAACAACGTTTTAGCGGCACACACGACCACGGAATGGATCAATAAATTCTTACCGTCATATGACGTGCTCGTGTGGATTTCCCATCACTTCAGCTATCGATTTTGAGCACCCTTGTACAGCCAGACCACCACCAGCGGCATCAAAGAGTCCGCACGTCAGCGCGACTAGAGAAAATAAGGCCAGGATTGGAAATCATGGAAATCATGGCAAGTGCAGCTGGGGCAGCTACGGGATCCTGAAGACTTCCAGATTCCATCCTTTTAAACCAGCAACACAAGGTGCGCGCAGCTCCTGAGGTGCGTGACCACAAGTTTCACCTGGGAAACAGCTCTCACCCTGATTTGGAGATTCCAGCTTCACCAGTGTTGGGATGATTGGGATGCCTGTACTCTCAGCAAAATCTATAATTCAAAGTGCGCCCTTGAAAAGATCAATTCCAGGGATTTACACTGACAATACACTCACAGAATCGGCAACACATCAAATGCTTTGCGTTTCAAATGCATTATATATTTTCTTGGAGAAAAAATGAGGATATCATTAGAGATGGGCCGTCCAGGAAAAGAACCCGCAGATCTTGATAATTTCTGGCCGAGAGTGGAGACTCTCCATTTTTTCTTTCTCTTTTTTGGTCAGATACAGTCATGGGTGTGCAAATTGGGTACGTTACTGAGGAAGCATTAGGAGACTAGTGACTAGCGTAGTTTACTGCCAGATTTTCTTTATTTGCCCTAAGATTTTGAACAATAGTTTCCCGCTCCTTGCGTGCTTTACCACTTTTGGATTTGAGGATACAAAGACTTGCATTTTGCATCAAATGTTTGCAGGCGCGCCCACCGCCTCGGGCAACCGTGGGCCCCATGAAGGATGAAGATCGAGATGATCGCGAGATAGTTCCACGCTGAGTTGCACCAACTTCTGGAAATGTTTTGAAATGTTTTGTGACATGTTTTGAAGAAATCTTGGGAATTCTTGGGAGTACATTTTACAGGAACTGAGTTGAACTGGGTTGAACTGGGTTGAACTAGTTGAACTGGGTGGGTTTGGTGAGATTCGGTGTGGTGAAGGGAGCAGTGCCGAGCCAAGGGAGCTGCCTATGCCCTGCCAGTTCCAGCGGCTCCACCAGGACTGGGGAACCCGGGGAACCTGGGAACAGGGTGGACGGGACACACGGGACACACGGGACACAGAACTTGTTCCATGCAGATGATGCAGGACAGTTTCTGAATGTGCTGGACAAAAGAGTGGATCTGAGCAATATCCAGGTTGTCCTGGCTTTCCTTGCAGTTTTTGTTTCTGGGCGACCAGCCTCACTGGCGACCGAGGCCGTTTCATGGCAGTGAAGGAGGAACCAATGGATTTGTTGGGAACTTTGTTCAAAGTGTTGAGAGATTTCAAGACTTACTGCGTCCTCCTGTGGGACTCAGGCCTTCAGGCATGCCAATGAGCGTGCCGCCTATGCACCTGGCACTACCCTGTGACTTTGCCTCGCAAGGGAAGGAGTTTGCAATTTGCTGGATGTCACGAAAAGGCATAGGATGCCGTAGGTCATTGAGTCATAGGTCTTGAAAAGATAAAATGTATTAAAAATGTACACGAAAAGGGAACCAAACCCACAAGGTAAGCTGGAGAAGAATGGTGAAGGTGTCTGCGAAAAATGAGGTGAAGCAGGTGCCATTCCACCGCCTCCCTTGGTCAACATGTCACCGGTGCTGCCGGTGCCACCGGTCCCAGCGGTGCCAGCCGTTCCAGTGCCGGTGTTATCCGCGCCTCCGGTGCCTCCGGTGCCGGTGCCGCCCATCCCGGGACCACCAATGGAACCACCTCCGCGAGTGGTGCCTCCCAAGTCCCTTGGATGAAACACGGATGACATTCCGCATGACTTCATATGACTCTTTTATGTGGCCCTGCGGTTAAGTCTTCTGCTGAATTTCATGGCACCGAGAAATGGCTACTTGCAAACGAAATGGATGGAAAAAATGGTCCAATTGAGAGGAACGATTGAGATGATGGGCATTCTGCAGATTCCATAGTCTACCACTAGCATCCACTAGTTACTTCAATAGTCTGTGCTCAAAGTCAAGCCCAGGTACACAGCTGTTCCACAGCCGAGCTTCAGCAAGTCCACTTCACAGGTCTTTGCCAAGCACGCCGTGAAAGGCCCAACGAAAGGGTGCTGGCACTTGCAAATATGGTAGACAATCAAAAAACTCTAAGCTTTCCATGGCCAAACCAAATGCTGCGAAACCTGTTTGTTTTTGCTAAGACCAGCAAAAAAGATGTTCAAGGTGTCCATGGCTCATGGTAGTATTTCTCTTCCGTACAGAAAAATATTGTAGAGGATCATCAAAGAAATCATCACAATCTTATCTTGACAATTCTTGACATATCTTGACAATTTTCTTCCCATTTTGACCATGTTTTTCAAGTTGGAGCGGGTGAGGTCCAGCTGCAGCAAAAAGCGTGAAGTTGGAGCCACCGCCAGTGTTTGGAGCCTCAGTGTGCGCATAGACTTGGCTTGCGAAAAACAGCATTTTTTCCGCATAGCTTTGTCAAATTTTGTAAACGAAAATGCTGATTGCTGGCTGTTCAAAAAAGTATACACTCTTTGTGAGGGTGCAAATATCAGAAGATATTGTAGTATATTAGATACATTAGAACAGATTAACAACATATTCAAACCACGGAACAATATTCAATATTGAATATGGAAGAATATGGATAGATAATGTTTGGATCATTTTGGATCTCACGTTTTTCCACAGATTTTTCATCCCCACCATTGCCACACCCGCGTGGCAAGGCTTCCAAGTACCGAGCTCAGATGGAAATGGAGCGGCCACGAGAGACGACACAGCCCTTCCCCTCACCTCGTCCTTTAAAGGCAGATACGAAAATTCAAAATATCTCAAATCCACTTATCTCAATGACTAATTCAAATGTAATTCAAAAAAATGATTCCGTATGATTTCCAAGCAAAAGAAATCAGGTCCGGTGACCGAAAGACTGGAGCTTGAGCCTTAGATGAGCTCTGATGGGACGATGTACAAAGTGTACAAATCAAGGAATCCTCTTTGATGCCAAGTAGAGGTCCTAACAACATCTAATAAAAGGACCGGATAACCCCACATGTCAAGCCTTTATGTATCTAAGGTTAATGTAAACTTCGGGGAAGTGTGAGAAGTGAGGTGTGAGAAGTGGACTTGTGATGTCAGGTGTGAGAAGTGGAGCTGTGATGAGTTCTGATGTGATAAGTGAGGTGTGAGAAGGGGTGTGAGAAGTGGAGCTGTGATGAGTTGAGATGTGATAAGTTGTGACGAGTTGTGATAAGAAGTTCTGATGTGATAAGTGACGTGTGAGAAGTGAGGTGTGAGAAGTGGAACTGTCATGAGTTGGGTTGTGATAAGTTGTGATGAGTTGTGATGAGAAGTGGACCTGTCAGAAGTGGAGCTGTGATGAGTTGGTGTACTGCGCCTGCCACGCAAAAGGCAGCGCTGCAGCTCCTCCGGGAAGCTCTGCGCACTGCGCCTGCCACGCAAAAGGCAGCCGCGGGCCAGCGGCGGCCATGCGCGCCGCAGCTCCTCCAGGAAGCTCTGTGTACTGCGCCTGCCACGCAAAAGGCAGCCGCGGGCCAGCGGCGGCCACGCGCCGCAGCTCCGCCAGGAGGCTCTGTGTACTGCGCCTGCCACCGTGGGCCAGCGGCGGCCACGCGCGCCGCAGCTCCTCCAGGAGGCTCTGTGTACTGCGCCTGCCAGCTGCGGCCACGCGCGCCGCAGCTCCGCCAGGAGGCTCTGTGTACTGCGCCTGCCACGCAAAAGGCAGCCGCGGGCCAGCGGCGGCCACGCGCGCCGCAGCTCCTCCAGGAGGCTCTGTGTACTGCGCCTGCCACGCAAAAGGCAACCAGGAAGCTCTCTGTGCTGCGCCTGCCTGAGTGAGTGAGTGAGTGAGTGAGCGGGTGGCTGGGTGAGTGAGTGAGTGAGTGAGGAGGAGGCGGCGGAGGAGGAGGAGGCGGTGCCCCGGCGGGATCCAAGCGAAAAACAAGAACCCCACACAGTGATGTGGGGAACAACATCTATTAACATCCAACAACCATAGGAATCTTATGGAATCTTCCTTTCACTTTTCCATACTTTGCCTGTGGCATTCTATGGCTTGAGTTTCATCCTGCCTTTACATTCGAGGACAAAAGTCGAGCCAGGCCTGGAGCTGGAAATTCAACGCATTTTTTTGCATCACAGAAAACGGATATCTCATTGACTCTTATATATATATATATTGACTCTTGCTGTTTATGCATTGATTTTGCACTTTTTATGTTGATTTTTCGATACCTCTCGGGTTTGTTTTCCCTTGGAACAGTGACACTTGAATCCAATCTCTCTCTCTCTCTCTCTCGGAGTGTTTGGGCTGTGAATTGATCTAAGCAGTGATCTGAGTGATCTGATTTTTTGGTGCCTTGGCAGCCACGAAATCGGGCCTGCCTTGGCCGCATGACACTCAGATTCACCCGTGGAGATCTCTTTGCAAGTCATGGAAGCTGTGGCATGCTGTGGCAACCCAAATCACGGCCGGCCTTTGTGTTTGTTTATGTTTGTTTTGGAATGTCAAATGATGTCAAAAATCACCGGATGTGGGATATCACGGCAAAAACGCTTGACTTTTGCATGTCTTACCTTTCTCATGTACATTTGCTTGCTCCGAAATCAGGCATCCTAAACGAGCAGCCTCCAAAGGTGGGGTAGCTTTGCTTGTGAATCAGTGGACATGGCAGACTTCTCAGCATTGCTAGCTGTCAAGAAGCTCTTTGAGGCTTTTAAATGCTTATAAATGCTTTTCTGTTAAGGGGGACAATACATTGCCTCTAGCTTTGCAGGGGTGGGGCCAGCTTGCGAATGCCAGGCGGATTTCACAAGAAGAGGCTGGGCAAGAATTCTGTGAATAGCTGAGATAATCTTGCAAGGTCATCATAATTATTCTTATTTGTGCCCAACAAATTGGAACTGACATTTGTTTGCCAATTTATGGCATATTTATGCAAAGTTGGAAACGTGAAAGGTTTGGCAGAAATCTCCCCGAGGCACGGGCAAACAATGAAACAGTGGGTAGCTACGAAGGTGTCAAGATGTGTCAAGTGTCTGTTGCATGTCTGTTGCATGTCAGGCATGTTGCCTGTTGATCCTGTTGCAGGACGCATTTGCGCGACCACTTGTGAGACACCGGACAAAGTGAGAATTGCGGTTCAAAGACAACGCGACAACGCTTCACTGCATGACAGGTAGAGAAGTGTCCCTCAAGAGTGAATACAAAGGCTTCAAAGAAGGGACTCCAACAAAACCACAAAAAAACTCATATTTTCATGCCTGGGCTTGGGCTTGCTTTTGCATGGCTTTTATTTCTTATAGATTCTTATAGTATTTCTTGTGCTGCTTTTAGATGGACTATGATGGACTGGCATGCCCGCAGCCACATCAGAGCTCTGAACTCACATGCGCAGAGTGAAATTCTGACAGAGCTCTGGAATCGGGTCATGGTGTCCGAAGCGAAGGTGCAGGCCTAGGGAGTCCTGCAGGTCCTGGGGAGTTGCAGAGATTTTCAGTCGATCCAACAATATCCAACAACATCCAACATAATTCATCCAACCATGCTGTTCTTTCTTACAAATATTACATAATTTTACTGCGCATTTTGTAGAACTTGGACCAGCCACAGCACATCTCCGTGGCAAGGATGAGCAATTCATGCTGCAAGCGTGAGGGGCCCCAGTGTTTCAAGGCGTTTTGGTAGTTTGAAATCACCTTTGCAAGGAGTAGGCTGGATAGGCTGGATAGGCTGGATAGGCTGGATAGGCTGGATAGGCTGGAGGTGAATGAGTGTGTGCCATGTCCAGAAGCCGAAGTACAGTCAATCAACTGTTCGGCAGTCTTGTGGTTCAAATTCTCCAGTAGGATAAGCATCGCAGATATTTTTTTTAAAAAAGGGCCAGCGCTGTACTTTGCGTCTGGCTATCTGCGGTGCCATGTCCACAAAACCTCGCATGTTGATCACCGAGCCCCGGGGGGATGTCACTTTGGACCCATTTCAGTTGGATGCTTTGAGACCTTTGCTGTTGGAGCAGGAGAGGCGCATCAAGAATCATGTGGATCATCGGATTGACCAGCTCACCAGGTTGTTGGAACGTTCGGATTCGGGGGATTCGCGAGAACGGGAAGCGAAATCGAAAGGTCCGAGCCAAAATCTGAACGGCCCTTCACCAGATCAGTTGGGCCTCAGGGCTGGTGTGGCACCTCATTTGCTCCAACTCATCGACCGGATAAAGGCTGAGAAGGAGAAGGCCAAGGAGAGCACCATCTTGAGAGCACAGGTTTCATTTATCAGCGCGTTACCCTCATGGAGAAGTGGAAAGTGGAGAAAGACTTTGGGGCGAATCCTGGAAATGTATGAGCATTTGGTTGATTTGCTGGTTGTGATCTATGCAATCTGCGTGGGTGTAGAAATTCATTACACAAGCAAAGAAAAATCAGAGCCAACGTGGGCGCGGACCGTGGAAACGGCATTTTGCTGCTTCTTCTCAGTCGATTTGCTGATTCGCATCTGCATAGAGCGAGAACGATTTGCCACAGGATGTGGGCCAAGATGGGCCAAGACAGTGTTTCAAAATGTTTTAGATGTTATACAAGTTATAATAAGTTATACATGTGTGTGAATTGGACAGTCAATGCTTATCAATGTGCTTCAAGGTTTTGAGTTTGTCAATCCTTGTGAACATGCCTTATGGATCCTTATGGGTTTTTATTTGGTTTGGTCCGGTGTTAGACAATGTCTTAAACTCCAACAAGCAGATGTGTATGACAGAATAGTACACAAATACGTGCGATACACTCACAAGCACGCATTGAACTTTTATGTATGCATGTGTAAATTTGTAAGTGTGCATTCTCTACGACACACTTCTATGCGTATGGAGACATCTGTCAGAGACATCTGTCAGAGACATCTGTCATAAGTCGCAAATCTTGAGAGATGACCCAAGTTGTCGCAGGAAGCCGTCGTTGGTGGAACCTTGTGGACTCAGTTTCGTTGTCATTGCTCTTGATCGCCCTCGCCGAAAGGTCCAGAACTCTTGGCAATTTTGTGGCCATGCAACGTGTTGGACGACTCCTGCGACTTCCCAGGTTTCGGATGGAAAAACGGGGTCCGAACTTGGTTGAAAGTATTGATACACGTGCTATATCGAGCTGTCATGACGCATAAACGTTCTTTGACTTTCTACAAGTTTTAAAGCTTTGAAACCAGGAAGTGCCAGGAATCGTGGTCCACATAATGACACATATTGACACATCATGACGCATTTCAACGCATTTTTATTATGACTTGACACTTGACATGTTTCATATTTCCGTGTGTATTGTTGAATATTGGCATTTCTCTATTGTCACTTTCGTCACTTTGGTGAATTGAAGGTGCTTCGCAAAATGGGCGCAACTTCAAGAGCTACGTATAATGCTCGGATGCATGGCTGAAAGCTTCAAGGTCATGGTGTGGCTCGTTCTGCTGGTGATCATCTTCATCTACTTCTATAGCTTGCTTTTGACGGAACTTATTTGGGAGACATGTCCAAATGAGAAGACGGCAGAGGTGTGTAAGAAATTCGGTGATTTGCTCTCATCCCAGATGACCTTGTATCAAATCATGTACAGCGGACTGCTATGGGGTGACCTTTGGGAAGAATTGCGTGTGATGGACTGGTACATCCAGATCATTTTCTTGTCATATGTGGTATTTGCGCTGATGGTGTTCCTGGAATCTGTATGTACATTTTTTAAAAATCACTTTTTCTTTATTGTTTCTTATCACCCACGATGACGGATTTTTGTTAAAACTTGTTGTGGGTGACTGGTCCTGGGGCACTTCGACAGCCCCAAATATTGCCCATACTTGGCCACAAATTGGGGCACCCATGAAAAAGTAGTTTTCAACATCACTACATCACTTTAGAAAAGAGAAACCTTTCTACATACCCCAAATGGTGCCACAGCTTTCCCTCAGATTCTGGATTCCATCCGACAAGTCCAACAACGCAAAAATGACATGGACATGTTGATCAAATCTGATCAAATCTGTTAATGCAGCCTTTCGTGGCTGCATCTAGGCGGAATAAAATTGTGCGAACAACAAAAAAACCGTGTTGTCAAGATGGCGTTCCAGGTTGGTTAACACCATCACCAGCTTCATCTGCAGCTTGCAAAGCACAGTCAGCAAGAAGGAACGCGATGTTTTGATCGCCAACGAAATGGATTACAACGAGCGTTTAGTTCGTCAGTTGTACACCATTTTCCAGGATTTTGATCAGAACGGCAATGGTGCAATTTCCTGGGCCGAGTTCCAGCTAGCCTTGGAGGATGAGAGAATGCTCGCGTTCCTCAATGCCTTAGAACTGGATATGTCGGATGCAGTGAAGGTTTTCCAGATTTTGGCATCGGAAAAGACGGGTTCAATCGAAGAGTCTAACTTTTTGTTGGGATGTTTGCGCCTGCGTGGTGGGGCCACGACGGTTGACATGGTGGCAATGCAAATGGAGCAGGCAGACTATCTGATTGAACGCCGGAATTTGTCCAATGTTGTTGTAAACTGCATAAACCCAATCACAAACTCCGCTCTGAGGGTATAGTCTACAAAATATGCCGTAAATGGCAAGTGTTGGGCAAGTTAGGGATGACTGCAGATCTTGCCACGTCAAGAATCCTCAGTGCTTTTGCTACGCAAACCCATCAATATTGCAACATTACAATCTTGAAGATTTTTTTGGACATTTATCCTATCTACTTGGCCATTTTGCCCATATGATGTGGGGTTCCAGGGGATCCAATGGAACAGGAATGGATGCGTGGTGCACTTCTACAGATGAAAGGCTTGATGCATACAGCCATTGGCGATTTGAAGGCTGTGCAACATACTCTGGAGAGGAAGAGCCTTTGGGGTGAGAGCGAGAATCGCATCGAGAGACGGCACAGCATCAGGGGAAACTGGAAGTCTTCCAATAACTTGAATCGGCAGTCTTCTTCTCAGAGCTCGGTTTCAGCATCCAGCGATGAACTCGGCGATGAACTTGGCGATGAACCTGTTCCCTATCAACGCACAAATTTACAGACATTCGAACGCATTGACCCTCGAACAGCTGAAGATCATCTCCCAAAAATTAGATCGATGGTGTCGGGGATGGACGGATGCCTTCACAGGTGCAGTGGTTTCGGTAGCGAAGGTAAATCTCCATCAGTTCAGCTATCACCATTCTCTGCCCCGAACAGCTCCACCAGATGGCGTGCTACTTCAGTGGCCGGCCTCACTTGTAAAGGACTTGCCAGACGTCGGCTCGACAGTGTTTCAAACATGCCCCCATATGAAGCTCCCAAGAGCCAGTGGCAAAGTCATCAGCGCCGAAACGGCCAATGAGAACGGGATGAACATGCTAACTCTATGCGTTCAATTGGTTCAAGGACCACTCCATAGGGCCATAGATTGTGTTGGCTCTTGGGATCCTTGGGATCCTTGGAATCCTTGGGATCCTTTGTTTTGCAGATTGCCATTCCAGTTTAGTCTCATAAACATGTATGGTATTTATAAGTCGATTGACTGTGTCGTTTTCTGCATGGTTCACCCCAACAGATGTGCCCAGTCCAGACCAAGCCGCGTACAAATTATACTGGCTTTTGGATGCAGTTTTGCGTGCTTTTTCAATCTGTTTATGGGTAATGACGGTAATGTGCACAAATTGGGGCAGCAATGGACCCATTTTGCCACTTTTGGTATCCATCCATGTGAGAATTCCAATAGTTTTGACCCATACCCTGATTGGATGGAGAGCCAGGACAATTCAGAGGAAACGAAGAAGAAGAAGTGTCGATTGGCGACTTTGAACTACCAGCACGAGAGATGACTGTGACAGCCCGAAACTCCATAAGCTACAAGGACAAGGGCCCGAAATGAATCTCAAATTGATCAGAGCCCCTCACCACCAAAGCGACCACATTTGGCCAAGATTTGGCTAGGACAGAGTAGCCAAAGACCATGATTTCACTCCTGTTGCCCCGGTCGGCCGGCCGCAAGTTGTCCTCAACTTCGCCAGGAGCTGCTTTCGTCGGAGGCTTGTTCTCCCGTGTGGTACTGCAGCCATTGGTGGGGCGAACCGGTTCGTGACTTTGTGAACTGCTGCCAAGAACATGCCAATGTTAGACGACTGGGAGACCAGGGTTCATACTGGGTCTGTGGCTGAACAGCACTTGTGGCCAGTGTTTTTATCGGTTTGTCTTGATGTTAGATTGTATGTACGTATTTAATCGTATTTATATGTACGTATATATGGATTCACGTCACACGCTGTTGTCGGCACATCGGTTGTTTTTCCTTGGAACCTACATGCAATCGTGTTGGATATTTTTGTCATGGAACTCTTTGTTGATGTTTTATAAACTACAATTGTTGGATATGTTTGTCATTGTCGCGAAACTGTTTGTTCATCTTTTACATGCCAATATATGCCAATATTTTTCAACAGTTGCAGCCATCATTGAACTGAACTATTGTTTTCAGCTCACACTTTCTCCACTAGGTGACACCAGTATATTATTCTTAAATAGTCTCAGTCTCCACTATCGTTTTTGGATTTTGCTAGGCTTTTTCTCTTTCGACTCATTGAAATCAGCCCTGCCTTCTTCTTTTCCGATTTTAGGGCTTACGCCCGACAGCCGGCCACTGGCCAGGGAGGGAGGAGGGGTTAGGCCACGTTGAGGGCTATCTTCGGCTATCTTGGGCCATCTTGGGGGCATGTTGGGGCCATGTTGGGCCATCTTGGGGGCATGTTGGGGGTATGTTGGGGTCATGTTGGGCCATGGTGGGCCACGTTGGGCCATTTTGGGCCATGTGGAGGGCATGTTGAGCTATGTGGAGGTGATGTTGGATGTTGGACGATGTTGGGGGATGGCAGCCATGTGGAAGCTCTGTTGGATGGGCCAGCTTCAACCCAGGATGAGGCCCAAACACGTTTTTTTCCACTTCCGTGCTAAGATGGCTGATGTCGAGGCATGGAGGGCGACTTGGGCCATGTTGAGGCTGTCTTGGGCCAAGTTGGGGCCATGTAGGGCCATCCTGGGGCCAAGTTGGCACTTGTTGAACCCTCTTGCTCTTGCTGCTTGCTTCCTTCCAAATGCTGCTTGCTCTTGCAGCTTGCCTTTCGCTTGCCTTGATGCTCTCGCACAAACATGCTGCTAGCACTTGCTTCTCTGACGCGCTCCCCCGTGCCAGCAGCAGGGGTCGGTGGATTTTTCATCCTTGAGGCCAGTGTTTAGCCGATCCATACCAGTAGTACCGCACAAGGTGGTGGCGGAAGTTTCAAAGATAGACAACTATAGGAGAGGTGAGTTGTTGTGACGCATGGATGGCAGAGCGACTCCACTGATGGACCGAAAGGTTGGGGTTGTGCTTTTTGAAGTGGTTGCGGTGGTCAACCACCCACAGCTGCTAAATGTCGTGTGGTGTGGTGTGGTGTAGTTGTGAGTGGTAGTTGTAGTTGTAGTTGTAGTTGTAGTTGTAGTGCAGTGGTAGTTGTAGTTGTAGTTGTAGCTGTAGCGTAGTTCAAGTTGAAGTTGAGGTTGTAGCTGTAGTTGTTGTAGTTGTAGTTGTAGCTGTAGTGTAGTGGTAGTGGGTAGTTGTAGGTGTAGTGTTAGGTGTAGTTGCAATGGTACTTGTAGCTGTAGCTGTAGTTGTAGTGTAGTTGTAGTTTATCTAATTTCAACAGCAATGAAAAGCATGTTTTCTGAAGGTCCAGCACGGGTAGGTACGGATTACCGTTTTTATGGGTACGGTACGGTGGGTACGGTGGGTACTGTACGGTGGGTACGGTGGGTGCACGCCCCTGCACTGACCGTACTGTGCCCACCGTACCCACCGTACCGTACCACCTTACCCATTATGCCGTACCCTCGCACCGTACCCTTCCACAGAGCATTACTCTTGAAATTGCATAAGTTGTAGTTCTAGTTGTGTTGTAGCTGTAGTTAGTTGTAATTTTAGTTGTATTTGTAGTGTAGTTCAAATTGAAGTTGAGGTTGAGGTTGGAGTTGTAGCAGTTGTAGTTGTAATGTAGTTGTGGTTGCAGCTCTAGCTGTAGTTGTAGATGTAGCTGTAGCGTAGTTCAGGTTGAAATTGAGGTTGAAGTTGAATTTGTAGCTGTAATAGTTGAAGTCGTGGCTGTAGCTGTAGCTGTAGTGTAGTGGTAGTCGTACTTGTAGTTGCAATTGTAGTTGTAGTTGTACTAGTTGTAGTTGTAGTTGTGTTGTAGCTGTACAGCTGCAGGTGTAGCTGTAGCAGTAGTGTTAGTGGTAATTGTAGAGTGGCGTAGTGTAGTTGTAGTTGGCTATCTATCTGTGGATTTGTTTATCTGTCTACCTGTCTATCTATCTGTCTGTCTATCTATCCATCTCTCTGTCTGTCTCTCTAATTGTCTATCTGCAAGCTTGAAAACGCAGCAATTCTGCGAGACTTCCTCAATTATCAATTTTTGAACCTGACAACACCCAAAGCGCAGCGATTCTGCGAGATGTCCCGAATTTTCGAAGTTGCCAACATCCAAAACGAATCAATTCTGCGAGACTTCCTCAAGTTTCGAAGTTGACGACATCAAAAATGAAGCAATTCTGCGAGATTTCCTTCAAAAACGGGAAGTTGAGTGCAGAGCTGCCGGCCTCGTGCCAATGTGTTTTGCGATTT